CCATCGTCGTCGTTGTTACGGCTGGAGCTGTTGTTACCAGAGCCGTAGGAGCTCGAGTTGTTGTTGCCACCAGACGATCCAAAGCTGTCATCGTCGTTGTTGCGACGGCTGGAGGTGTTTCCAGTGTTTCCAGAAGATCCATACGAGCTGGTGTTGTTGCCCGACGAGCCGAAGCTGATGTCGTCGTCGTTATTGCGACGGCTAGAGGTGTTGCCAGTGTTGCCAGAAGATCCATACGAGCTGGTGTTGTTGCCCGACGAGCCGAAGCTGTCGTCGTCGTCGTTGTTGCGACGGCTGGAAGAGTTGTTGTTGCCCGAGCCATAGCTGCTGGAGTTGTTGCCAGACGAGCCGTAGCTGTCCTGTGATGGTGTTAGTCAGTTGACTCATGAGCAGCGGCCATGAGACAGTATGAGAGCCACGTCTCATGACGTACGGTGGTCTGCACCCGTGATGTTAGCAGTGGCATTACTGTCACTGATGAGCTGCACTTACGTTGTCGTCGTTGTCGCGGTAAGACATGGTGATTGTGGTGGAAGGGATCTTTGAGTAGAGAGATTGTTGATGAATTGTGCAAGATGAGCGAATAAGACACAGGAACCAGGGGAAGGAAACGTCGGGGCAGCACAGGTTTATACTACAAGCTACAAAGGTACTTCTGAGCTCTCTCTCCCTCATCCCGAGAAAGCTTCAAGCTACATGCTAGCATACCGCATACCCCTCACGCCATGGGCGATGGGGAATGACGTTTGCGATTCGCCTAGGACAGCTGAAAGCTTCCGACACGGGCTAATCCACCATCAAGTGGCATCCAGAGAGTGGGAGGGTGTGTGAGTGACGATGCCGTAATAGCCCGTGCAGTGTCGTCTACGAATATTTTCGGGGCCAACCAGGAAGAGCTCAGGGGGGCCGAGACGGAAGCAGGTTGTTTGGAACCAGCACCGCTCCGGATTTGCGGGCTTTCCCTACATTCACCCCCCGACGGCCGTAGCCGCGCACCATCAGGCAGCTCTAACTTTGAACGGGGTGTGCGCTCTGGAAGTCTGGAACGGCGGTCCATTAGAGCGGTCGCCTGTGCCGCGAGCCGGGAGGAGCCCTTCCATTGGGTCACATCCAGGACTTGCGATGTGAGAGACTTGTCTGTTTGAGCAACTAACGAATACTGGTAGCTAGCCTGTAGAGAGAGAGGGGTTTGATGAGGGGGCAAACTTGTGGTTAGGTGCGGATCAGACCAGCGCTAGCGAGAGACATGCGGCGCAGCAAGAAGCTTGTCGAGCTGGCAAGCTGGGCATTGAAGCGGCCACCCACACCTGTTGTCCATATAGTCGTGGTCCAGTAGTTCCGCAACTAGCTCGACAATGGCGCAACTCGAAGCAGTTCATTGGCTTGCAGCCTCGCTCCTTAGCCAGCCTACTTCCTTCTTGTGAGGAGGGGTAACCGGAATCGCCTTGCCTGGTCTTGGGGCACACTGTTATCCGCCCCGCAAACCCCTGAGGTGCAAGTCCATGTCGAGCTGTCGCCAGCACGCCAGGTGTGGCTGTGGGATCGACTGGCTCCGTGGCTCCGAGGCTGGAGCTGCGAGGAGCTGGACTCGGCGCGGCGGATGGTTGGTGGTTGCTGCACATGCGCTGCTCCGACGCCTTGGTTGGGTGACATGCATTGCATGTTGCCATCTTGTCGACCAATGCCTGGGGAACGGAGAGATGGAGGCACAGTTTCTTGGCTCGATTGCGGGGGTTGAGCCATTGATAGAGGTTTCACTGAGGGAATAAGTAGCACATCGCCTCATTACTTGTCCAGTCATGCCAGTGCATTTGCAGTTAAGGGGCGCAAAGCATTGCAAAAGCGCTATTTGGATGCCACCTCTCGGTATTCCGTCTCTGTGCGGATATGAACTCGTTAATGTGGACATTTATGTGCCTACATAACAAGTTTCTGGTTTGGTCATATTTTCTAATAAATGGGTTCTGCCTCCCTGCATCATCGGGCTCAAGGAAACCAACCAAGGTTCATATCATGTCCACTCTATCCATGCAAGACCGGGTCCGGCCACTATTACGTGTTACTAGACGACGTATGCTCGTTGACTGCCTTGAGGTGATGATTTGGATGCAGCTGGCAAATGCATCATCGCTCTCTCCGAAGAAGATTTATCCCAACTCGTCCCGGCTGCAATACTGCTCCCTAATAAGGGCTGATTTTAGCACCGTGCTTGGCGGGCTGCTAATGTGTTCGTCTGATGCCCCCTCCAGTTCCTCCTTGATCCCCTCCCGCGGGCGTCATTAGCTCGCTACGGACGAGAACCCTTGTCGCCGAGATTGCGAGTCACCGCGCAACATTTCGCTGCAATAATTGCCCGTCTAACATGTTTTGCCTCCTTTCTTGTACTACGGCTCGGAGACTAGGTAGAACGGAAGAGGCCCTCGCAGAAGATGGCGTGTGAGAGGGCGCGTACGGTATCACCATGGTATATTCGCTGCATTACGCCTTCCCATCTATCTATCGTACATGTCTTTACAACAAGTAAATCTACACCAAATATCTTAAAGCTTGCTCTCCGCTGGCATGAGCGCACCGCTCATCATAGGCAGCTCCGCGGGCCTGGCTTCTCCAGAGAGCACCAACTCCCGTCCACCCTTGGTTCCCCACCATGCAACGCCAATCGCGGACCGCTCCACGTCCATCTCGCCGTTGATGAGAATGTCCCAGAAACGCTCCATAACGGGCCTGCGCACCCTGGGGTCCACAATCTCGTTGAGCGTCTGCGCAGCGACCGTCATCCACTCCTCCACAAGCGGCAGCGGCAGAAACGGCAGGGCGTCGATGAGGGCCAGCACGAGCGCGCTCTGTGCCGACTGCAAGGTCTCGCCACTCTCGGCTGAGGCCGCCTGCGCCGTCTCGTCAGGGGCCAATGGCAAGGTGGATGCAGTGGTGATGGCGCCGAGCAGCATCTCGAGCAACGTCTCGCCGAGCAGGGGCTCCTGCGCCGCGATCGCAAAGGGCGGCGACACCATCTGCATGACTGTCTTGAAGGCCACGCGGAACTGCCGCGGCGAGATCCGGACCGGGAACGACTCGAAAAGCTTCACAATGTAAAATGGCGCGAGCTGGATTGTGAGCGCACTGTGTTGGGGACACGAGAGTACTGACAGGACGGCGCTGTGGGCGGACTCGAATATTTGGAGCATGGTCGGAGACGCCGCGCCGTCAAAGCCCAGGTACAATGTTGCTGGCTTAATGATAAGAGCATCAGCCGCTTCTGTCGTAAGAGAAAGAGGCATATGCTCTGCGACATTGAGGTAGTAGAGGTCCAGCGTCCTTTGCAGGTGCGCCGACGGCACTGAAAGGCCTTCTGCGGGTCGAAAGTCGGCCAAGAAGTTTTCGCAGGCCGCACCGCTCCTGCAGATGACGTCAAGCGACGTGAGATATGTGAATGTGTACACTTGAAACGAGTCGTTGCCGTTGACCGAGGATATAAAGGAAATGTTGCGCAGTATTTGCAGCGACTTGGCCACGATGACCGGGGCGACTGCTTCGTGCAGCATTTGCCGGTCGAGAAGGCTCCGCGATACAATGGCTTGCAACGTGGCCACGATGCCAAACATGACTTTCCGTAGGACCTGCCAGAGGACCGGCCAGGTTGCCTGTAGTGTCTCAGGGGTGAGCGCGGCGCTCGCTAGGCCGAACTCAACGCTACTGAGGCGGTTCTTGGCCCAGGCGTCGAGCAGCTTGTGAGAGAACAGAACCAGGTCATCCTGGGCCTGCAGCACAATGTTGGTGTCCGTAGTGTGTGTCGCTGCAAAGGCCGCCATTTTTGCCAGGGGTCCCATGTTGCTCATGACGGGTCGCCGGTCCATCTCGACGAGTACGGCAAAGGAGGGCGCGTGCTGCGGCCAGCTACACGCGCCGGCGCCGCCGACGGCCTGGGTCACGTCGCGCGCAATCTCCTGCAGAAAGAGGCCGTCGTTGCAGCCCTCGCGCAGCATGGCCCAGAGCAGGACGGGCAACAGCACGTCGCAGTCGAGCTGTGCCTGATGGTACTCCGACAACAGTGGGAAGGCGTAGTTGAGGGCCATGACGATGGCAGCCTCGGCGATCGGGCCGTCGTCGGCGTGCGACTGTAGCGCCAAGTTGGCCGCTACGACGACGGCCTGCTGCAGGGTGCTGCGCAGGCCGCGAGACAGCGTGCGGCGGTCGTTGCCCTCAAAGCCTATAAGCACGCCCGTCAGCACGAGCAAATGCTGCCAGCGCTCGGAGCGGTCATCGGCGCCCTTTACAACGGCGCGCGCCCAGTCATCGGGCTTCAGACCGCCGCTCTCGCGATCCTGTCCCGCCGGGGGGCGCACGAAACCGTCGGACTTGTTCTTCCTCTCGAGGGCTTCAGCGGCGTCCCGGCTGACGCGGAGGGCAGCGGTGTTGTAGATGCTGACAACGCGCAATGCGTGTGATAAGTCGAAGCCGGGCCGCTGCCAGATGGCGGGCGCTGTGAGTAGCTGAGAGGTGAGGACGCCGAGATTAAGCGGGTTGGAGAGATGAGTGAGCAGGTGGACGGTGGTGCCGAGAATTTGTTCCGACTTGGGTTCGTCGTGCACGTCCTGGTAGTGCTGCAGGAGCGTATTGAGAAGCCGGTCGGCAGGCATGGTTTCGGGTGTGTGGCGCAATGCCGGGCTCGGGAAAACTGATGATATTCTCGTCAAGTTTTTGGTTTGTAGAGGATGCACATTCGAGATAGCCGTTCGGGGTCCCGCGGCCTGGCATTGGCGGGTACCGAGGTCTGTGAGACCCACTGGCCGCAAGACGCTTGCCAGACCCACCCCCAACCGTTTGAAACCAGACGCCCGATGCTGAAGCATTCATCACTGATGATGCATCAGCCATGACTTGAACGACGACTGTCACCGAGGCTTGTCATCACAGGCCGTCGCAGCCGCAGCCGCAGCGGTCGCCGCCATGCCGGAGTCCCCGCCCAACTACAGGACGCCGCCGTTTCCTTCGCTCAACGTGCACACCCTCTCGGACGAGACGAGCAACAAGATCTACACCCTCTACCACATTGGCGACGTCTGGCGCTTCACGGTCGTATGGACCGTCATTGTCTACGCCGTGTTCCACATGGGCGCGGTGATAGTGGCGTTCATAACGCACGGCTTCAAGCGTCGCTCGTGGAAGCTACTATGGCTCGCGCCTATTGTGTATCTAAGCGTCGCCGGTGTGGAGGCGGTGCTTTCGGGTAGCATAGTCGGACTAATGTGCGTTAGAGTCCCTTATATGATACTTCGAACTGTGGCTTTTGGTGAACTTCGGCGCGGACGAGGCTAACTTGGCAAACAGAGTCGGGGCCGTGTACCATTCGGGCAACTACGAGATGAACACCTGGATCCCGTGCATATGGGGCTTCATCTGTCTGCTCATTCTCCTGATCTCCTCGTTTACAATCCAAGGCGCGCTGTAGAAAAGCAGTGTGATGGGGGTGTTTGACTGCAGGCGATAATCGGTGCAACGAGACCATTTACGACATATGATGCTACATGAGCGTCCATTAAGGGTATAATTAGGGCCACTGGAGCAGTTTCTGACAATATCAAACCAACGTTGTATTTTTATTGAGTTGCCGTGTTCCGTCCCCTCATTGCAAATGATGTTCCTCAAAACTCCGGCGTGGTAACTAGTTGTTGCTAGTGTAGGGTAACAAAAGGACACGGCACCAAAAAATATATCACATGCAAAAAACAAATCCTCAATGATGGCTGCATTCGATGCAAAGGTACATTATGTTCTACTGTCGACTGTCCTCCGAGTACCGCCTATCTTCAGCAAACGTGAAATACATTCGCGAAATGCAGGACACCTTGCCTGGGCACATTCAAGCCAACGGTAAATGGGTGGTACCTTATTAGAGGCTGCCTGCATATGCAGGACAGAGAAGGCGACCGCAGCGCGGAATTACCCAAAATACCAAGATTAAAAAAAAACACAATACTGGTCAAAAGGTACTAACATCGGTTGACCTGCAGTCCTTGTAGCCCTGCTAATCTGTGCACAGCTCGATGCTGTCTGACCAGAGATCTTAATCAGTGGTGACGAGCCGCCACCTACCCGGGAAGAGGTCATCATAGCTGGATAACCTCATTGACGTCCAACGAGACTCGATCAGCCAAACTCGACATGTAGAAATAATATAAAATTGAGTTTGTCCCACGACTGGAGATGGCATGCGATTCACGCCGACGTGCAAACCGCCACGACCCACCACAGTAACAGTGAAGCTATTGTTCTTGAGCTTGCAACGGCGCGAGGCGTTACACGCCCCACCAAAGCTCATCATCAGCAAACAAGCCTTTTTTGCCAACGCTGGCTCTCCATGATCCCACCGTCGCCTCATTCCTTGCAATTTAACTAGAAGATCATCCATCCCTCTTCTGGAACTTCTCTGGCAGCAATGAACCGATAAACCAAGTCACCCCCCCCGTCTTCTGCCATGGCCAGCTTTCAACCGCCGCAGCGTCGTCGACAACCCGCCTCCTCCACGCACGGCAACATGTCCGACACCGACTTTGACGACGACCCTCCACGTCCTCTCCCCTTCGCCGCCGAATTGTTCCCCGGGCAGCCGCGGTCCCTCGCCGGCATTGCCCTGCGCGCCTTTTGCCTTGGCGCCGCCGCGTCCTCCGCACTGCTTCTCACGATCCTGACGCTCCTCTTCTCCAACTCGCCCGTCTGGCGCGCGCCATTTTTCCTGCTGGCTCTGTCGACATTTCACTTCCTCGAGTTCTGGGTTACCGCGCGCCGTAATACGCTCGTCGCGACGACCGACAGCTTCCTGCTGACAGCCAACTGGCCCGCCTACGCCATCGCCCACGCCGCCGCGTTTGCCGAATGCCTCGTCGTCTCCGTCGTCTTCCCGCGTCGTAGCTGGGGGCTCGGCAGCCTTTGCCTCGCTCTCGGACTGGTGCTGGTCGCGTTGGGTCAGCTGGTGCGCTCGGCGGCCATGCTGCGCGCTGGGGCCAGCTTCAACCACCAGATCCAGTGGCAAAAGGCAGACTCGCACACCCTCGTCACCACGGGCGTTTACGCCTGGCTGCGACACCCAAGCTACTTTGGCTTCTTCTACTGGGGCCTGGGGACGCAGCTTGTCCTGGGCAACGTGGTATGCTTCTTCGCCTACGCCGCGGTGCTATGGTACTTTTTTAGCCAGAGGGTCCGCGTCGAGGAGGCCAAGCTTGTCGAATTCTTTCAGGATGACTACGTGCAGTATCGTAAGCGAGTCGGTACGTGGATGCCATTTATCTAGGCCAGGCGCGGGCACGGGCGAAAAGGAATAACAAATTCTGTATGGTGATGAAAATGGCAAAAGCCGAAGCACAGACTGGTATTGGATACTGTACTCTGGCGAAAAGGCGCCTCATTTATCTAGCGGAGAATAAAGAGCAGTCATTTGTTCACAAGTAGGCTATTTTGTCCCAGATGGCATGGGCTGGCGGCTAACACTTCCGTACTTGGCCTGCCAGGCATAAAAGTACATGAGCGCGGCAAACGGCTGCCCGAAGATGGTAAAAGACACCCAGAAAATGGCATTGCCTAGCACCTTGCCGCCGTTACCCATCTTCCTCTTTTCCAGAGGCGCTGTTAGGGCAATTAGGGGCAACTGCAAGAACATGCCAAAGAACGCGACGCCAATGATGTTGTGCGTGGGGACGCCGACGAGAACCTCGTGCAGCACCGCTGAGACGAAGAAGACGGCAAAGCTGGCCGTCGAGGGCTTCCAGCCGCGGCCGAGCAGCGGCATGTAGACGTGTCGCTTGAAGTAGGTGTAGACGGGCCGGTTCCAGGTGCGCCAGTAAGACCCCAGACTCTCGCTGTTCCACCAGTCGTCATAGAAGAAGCGGTCGCCGAAGCGCGTCACCTCGGCCAGCGCGTTGAGGAAGGACTGGAAGATGGCGAAGAAGCCGGCCAGCCAGATGACGAGTGAAATCGTCGACAGCTTGAGCAGACGCTCGAGGATGGAGAAGAAGTCGAGCGACGCAATCTTGTCGAGCGAGTTGCGCAGAACCGGCGCCGCGTACTGCGCGCTGGCGAACCAGATGAAGACGGACAGGCCAAAGACCTCGCCAAGGCGCTTGGCAACGTAGATCCAGCGAATCTTGTCGGTACGCGGGTACACGGGTTGATAGACGAGCGTGGGCGCCCACCAAAAGTACGTCATGTTGTTGACAGTGATGTTCTCCGGATACGGGCAGGCCTTGTAGAAGTCGGGAACCGATTCGCCCTTGACGGGGTGGAGGTAGGCATGACGCAGGTCGCGGTTGGTGAAGGCGTACGAGGTGGTCTTGAGCCAGACAATGATGGCGTGCGTCTCGGCCATGGTGCCCATGAAGGGGTGGTGGACGTGAAAGTAGACGACAAAGGTGGTGAGGGCGAGGGCGAGTGTGATGTTGAGCATGTGCGTCCAGGCAACGACGATCCAAATGTTGTGAAACTTGCGGCGGTCGCGCTCCGACGGACCCGTCGCGCCTTCGACCATGCGCCGGCGCGATCGGATCGCCTGACGCGCGGCAGCGAGCTCGATGAGGTAGGCGACGAGGAGGTGGCAGGGGATGAGGCAGAAGAGGCCGAGCCCGACGAGGACGTCATGGCGGCGAAAGTCGTGACATTTAAGGCAGATGAGGACGCCGTACTGGTAAAAGTTAGCTGAATTCCGCCACAATTGAACAAACGTCGTATGATTCTTCTTTCGGCGTACCTTTTGAATATTTTCAATCATTAATCGCAGATTGCCAACCACTACCAAAACGAGGCGTTAGTGAGGGGCATACAGTCTCACGTCACGTCACACATGCGCCGCCCGTCATGGGTGCGCACACACGGCGCGAAGCGACCAACAAGCAACTTACCGAGGACAATAACCATGAGGTTGCGGAACCCCAGGAAGCTAGGCGACACGTTGGAGTCGTGGCTCAAGCAGGATGGGCGGACAAGCGAGTGCGTAGCCTCAACATGGCGATACTTGGACGTCGGTTTGCGCGAGCGCGTCGCGGGCGGCGGCGCCTCGGGCAGCTCCTGCTCCTGCTGCTCGTGGAGTTGCTGCGTCTGCGTCTGCGTCTTCTTTGCGGCCTTGCTATTCGATCGGCGCTTCTTGGTCGTGGCCGGCGACGTGGCGACACCTGTCGTCGTGCGGTCGGACATGACTTGGCGGAGGGGGTCAAGGTGATACGAATTGATGAAGGGAGGACTTTGGCGATGGCAAGGAGAAAAGAAGAGGGAAAATTGAAGGGAGAGAAAAAGGAAGAGACGGCAACGTTGGTGGCGGCCACCAAAGGAAGCTTGGAGGGGAACAACGGTCGGTTGTCGGCGCTAGCAAAGAATGTGCTGCAGCTAAAAGCTCTTTGGTGCAGACAGGAAGCTGGAAGCTATCGCTATCACTACCCACTATGTAGAGCCTTAGTATGCACGACGCTATGGCGATGGCGGCGACGCCCAATGCATTGTAGTATGGTAGCGGTGCCGTGAAAAGGATTCTGTTCGTAGTGACAGGCATCTTTGATTCTTCATGAGTTTGTACTTGATCTGTTATCTCCCTCATTGCGCCAATCCACAAAACGTCTTTGACACCTGGATGCGTGTGCCGCGTCACTGACATGTCACTGGCCTTCACCACACCAAACGCCAACCCCAGCCACGCCAAAGCCCGCGCCACGACCCGCTCGCCGGCCTGGGCCCGCTCCCCCCGAACACACAGGGGGGGGCATCTCCAGACGGATTGGAGCAGGCATTGTGAAACATTTTCCATTAACAAAGCGAATCGCTAACTAATCGTGATTCCTGATCCTGCTATTTTTTTTTAAAATCTATTTCTAGATCTTGCTATGAGGTGTTTGTCTGCACATTCTATCGTTCCTTGCTGCTCCAATGCACTCTCCTGCAGCCTCGTCCGCCACAACGGCCCTCGACCTCAATCTGGCACCGCCGGAGCTGCGGGTCTCTTCCTTGCCCTTCCTTGCGTCTTCTTCCTATCCCAGTTGTTTTATTAGTCCCTTCACTCGTTAGCGGCTCCTCGGCGGGCGCGCCACAGCTCGATCTCCTCGAGGCTGAAATAGAGTCACCGATCATTGTCCACGGAAAAAAATTTCATCTCAAGGCACATGTGAAAATCGGGCAAGAAGCAGGTGCGCACCGGGTACACCCGGCTTTGTCCTGTCTGGCGGGTATCTCTGATCAGTCGGTATGCTTTGTCCTCACTGCGACTACAACAGTAGGTAGATGGTATTAGAGTATCAACAGGTTTGGGAAATAGTAGTTCAACGACTAGTAGACCTTATCATATCTAGCAATATCACGAGGACTACACAAAGGTTTCACGCTGCATACACCGTGGTCAAGGGAAAAAATATTTGTACACGTTGATTATCATTAAAGCCTGCCCTGGGCACAGCGTCCCAGCAGACAACCAGTCACTATCCTAGGCGGTTTAACACCGCTACTTAGAAATGACCGACTTTTTCGCAATCGACGCAAGGGTATTTACAGCAGAGCAACAGCGACGGCAACAGCTGCGACAGCGCCACCAGCGACACGACCGGCACCAGCGGTGACGGGCTGGCTGGTGGTCGGGTTGGCGCTAGCGGTGCTGGTGACGGAGGGGACGACACCAGTGCCGGTGGCCACGCCGCTGCTCACGCTGGGAACGGGGGCAGTACCGCTGGGGGCGGGAACAGGAACGGCGGTGCCGGTGCTGCTGGGGCCGGGCACGGGGACCGCAGTGCTGCCGCTGCTGGGGACAGGGACGACGCCACCGCCGCCGGGGTTGATGGGGGTGCCGGAGGGGAGCGGGTTAGACGATGCCGGCTCGGGCGCGGGCTCACAGCTGACGGTGCTGGCATGCTCCGGCTGGGCGGAGGTCTGGGGCTGAACAGACGGCTCAGGCTGGACGGAGGACTGGACCGAGGGGACGGAGGGCTGCACGGAGGGCACAGCAGGGACCGACGGCTGGGGCTGAGCGGTAGTAGGCTGGGCGGCGGGCTGGGTGCCGACCTGGACCTGACCGTCGGCAATCTGCGAGACAGGGGCGCCGACCTCGGCAGCAAGGGCAACAGCTAGGAGAATTTGATGTTAGCACTGAGTGAGTCCAGTAGCAAGGGGCGGCTGACGGCTGCTTACTGGCCAGAGCGGTAGCGATGGTGAAGAACTTCATTTTGACGGGGCTGTGTGAACGAGTGTGATTTGGATCAAGAGGGGAAGAAGGGAACAGAGAAAGAGCAAGGAACACAGACGAGGGAGCAGGCTATATACACTTTGCAAATAAACTGGGTATTAAAAGGAGAAGAGCATCGGCGCACGTCTTGTCATGTCAAGTCCAATCAATGGACGTAGCGAAGGGACCGTCAAGGCGACCCGACCCCCCCTTCGCGCTCCACGCAGACCAAACAAGAGTGACAAAGCACACAAAGCAAAAAGACAAGATAAGATGTTGGTAGCGGATGGGCACGACTAGCCACACGTCGAAACTTGATCGGCATGCAACATGCCGCTGAGCCGCCGGAGGGGATGAGGGAGGGCCGTGGGTCATCCCACTCCCACTTCAACCAAGTCGAATGTTTGGCGGCGCCCAGTGCCCAGCCAATGGTGGTACGTGTACGGTTCGTCATGGACCGTTCATCGCTCGCGATCGTCATCTCCAAAGGGTAAATGGCCCCCGCGATCCTCTCAGTCTGTAACAATGGCGCGCACGAGTCGCCCGGTTTTTCTGCTTCTTGTGGCTTGGTCAAAAACTTGTTTCCCGCCCCCGCCCCCTTGAAATATCAAGATCAGGACAAATGCAGCAGCACGCGAGATACTCTCTTGTCAACGTTGGACGGTGGCGCCCCCTTCTACTGCAAGGTACAGCCGCCCGGCCACGGGAAGGATTTCTCACCACGCCACCTGCTTCAACTGCAGTCCCAACCAAAAAGAAACCCCCCCGCCACTAGCCGCTCTGCAAACTCAATGGCTCAGACACGCATCGGCCGGCGTTTTTTTTTAAGTAAAATGGGGAGCCTGAGTGCCTGACTATCATGGCCAAGAAAGCCCAGCATGCCCAGGAACCTTTTGCGCTACGCTCCACTCGCGACAAAACTCAAAATCTTTCTTTTCCTCCCTCCCTGGAAGACTCTGACTCGGTGCCTCCGATGTACAACAGGTGGGACTTCGGCGGTACATACCCGTAACGTCTTCTCTGCTGTGCTTTTTCGGTCGTCAATTGATTTGTCTGCTTATTATTAAGTTGGTTGGATGCGGATGGCCAAGCCGACCGTCGCCATCCCATCCACACCCTCTCACCCTCAATTGCCAACCACTTGTTCGTCGCCACCTTGATTTTCGCTGTCAATACGTGTGTCTAGCAATTTAAACGCCCTAAAATCCTTGTCCTGTAGCACACTCTCTTGCATGCGACCGTGTCTTGCCAAGTGACCGGCAGCGTATTCGCAAGCTGATGTCCTGGTTGCCATGCAGACAATCGCGATTGCTCAATCATATAGCACCCATTTGTCAATTCCGAGCAGTGGGATGACCGCTTCGTGGCAACTACTAACTGGCTACGGCGACCACATCAACAAATTTTCTTCTCAAATCACGTCGTCTTCGGAGCGTGTCTTCCGTGTTTCCGCACGCGCACAGCTGCAGCGCTTGGCAAGAGCAAGATCGATGTATCCCAAAAATCGACTCGCAAACATGTAGTTAGCAACTTTATGCATAACCCGATAGATTCTTCTCATTGGTCAGGCTTAGTAATTCCCATTGCAATGTTGCCTGGTTAGCCAGCATTGTGCGAACCACTCAAGGACGGATACTAGGGGCCGAAATCTACGAGATGTCGCCCTCAACAGCGCTTATGCGCACTACTTTAGTACTTCGGTATAGTTAGCCCCTCTATTAGAACGTACGAAGTGATCCCCCAAGCCAGAATAGCAGACGTTGGTGGTAAGCCGTGTTTAGCTGCGGAAATGTTGTTTCCTACCAATAGTGTTAATAGACGTGCCCAATATGTGTATGTGCCTGCCCAATAGAGAGGGAGGGGGCATGGTTGTATGTCGCGAAAGCGTCACTTTTTTGTCGACAGCAACATAAATTCCGTTCAGTGTTGTCCAAGTTGATTGCCCTTTCAGCCAACAACTTCCACACAAAGCCCAATTCTATGGATGATTTGGCTCTGATTCGATCGTCAATAAACACTGCACTGTCGGCATCGCACAAATTTTCATAGAACACTTCCCTCGCTCACTGCGTGATGAAGCGGTGTCCAAGTCGGTATCTCCGGCCATTTCTATTAAAATTCCCAAAGCCAAGTATGAGACTCGGGAGAGCCAATTTGCCTTTCTACGACTTGGAATAGCCGCGGGCTATCCCGTTATCCCTTAATTATGAGAGAGTAGTCAGTGGTGTTAGCACGAAACAACTTATTGACCCTGACAGTAGGTGCGAATAGTCTGAGAGATAACGTGACTTGCCCACCTCGGACGAATCGTTGCGCCACGGTGATGCCTAAAGTTGGGTTTCCCCGCTCACTTCGTCCTGACTATCAACATCACTTCACCTGGGTGGTTTGTCCAGTAAATCCTGAGCCCAGTCGGATAGGTTTGTTCCAAATAAAACCGGAAGTAATAATGGAACATGGAGAGTCGGCGACGCGGCTCCTCACGAGCGAGGGCATGCGAAAAGGTACGAGCAACAACCTCAATGCAGTATGCACAGGAATGACTGATGTGCTCTCACCTGTTCCTCCAAAGCAGGCCTTGATGCTCTGAACGAAGAGATTGGAAAGAGTGAATTGCTTATGAGCGTGGCCCCCATTCGGCTCATTTCCGTTGGCGGCTCCCTGGCGGTCCTGCTTTGCGGCAACCGAAATTCGTCTACGGATATTGACTGCATACTTGACCCTCAAGTGGCCGAAAATGAAGAATATGCGGCAGAATGGACCAAAGTTGTTGCCGACACTGCCGTTGCAGTCAACTTCTACCAGGGCTGGCTTAACCAGCAGCTGGCCATATTCATCCGCCGGGACAAGCGCCGAACGCTCTTCCTAGAATCCATCCAGCAAGGCATTACAATTTACGAAGGGGATCACCTGATCATATACGCAGGACTTCTTAACTGGGCACTGGAGCGCAAGATTCGGCGAGTCGCCCATGCAACAGACCGTCAAAGGGAGAAGAATGTCGACACGCCAGATGCAGCCGCCATCATCAAGCTGATGGCAAGCCGAGATGAGTACGCTACGCCGCTGACGTTTGAGTTCCTGCGGGGGTTGAATTACAATGGCTTTGACGTTGCGCCCACGGATGGTGCTATCCGGGAGGTCGCGAAATTCTATGAAGAAACGTACGGAAATGTTGGCATAACGGAGAAGTAAACAAGCGGGAATCGCACAACGGACCACGAAATATTAAAAGAACAACTATCTGCTATCTAGTCAAACAAAAGTGAGTCGCCGTTAGTGATACGGATATTGCTGTCGGGCAAGGTACAATTATACAGAGTAAAAGTCGCCGGTAGCTATGAAAATGTTGCGCCGGTGAAATGGACTTTCCACATAAGCACTTCTTGCACCAAGTAACAATTTCTTCGGGAGTGGTCCTGCCGTCGATGTCCATGATGGATACGCTTCAGGAGAAGCGGGAAGTGGCTCCTTGTAAAGTTTTATAAATAGAGGGTCGTCGCGCCGCAGTCCCAGCTGTATTCTCCAGTTGAAGCATTCGACAAGAGTTTCCGCCGTGGCCGCCAGGACGGCGTATTGCTCCTCGTCTGCGCACCTGGGATCTGGGATGTCGGCTGTTGCCCAATTCGTTTGACCCCAAAAGTACTGCGTCTCGGACGCGATGAGATCTCCGTCCCGCGCGCAGACGGCCTCGTAGATGCGGTACAGTGCCCGCAGCGGCGTGTCGCGGTGGCGCCACAGAGGCATGATGCGTAGGAGCTGTAGGTCGTGCGCGCGTCGGTCCACCGATTTCGGGTCCGCGGCGATGCGCCGCGGTGGCAGCGGAAGCGTGGCAGCAAACTGCCACGTTGGAAACGGCCACAAGAGGCCGAGGACGAAGAGGGCCGGGCTCGCGGGTGCAGGATACTGAAGGGCGCGCGCGTAGCGGAGGGAGCGGCGCAGGCCGAGCGGCGACTGGGATGGCAGCAGGCGGCGTCGGAGCTTGATCAGTGGCCATCTGTATTTCAGAGGGAGGTAGCGGAAATTCCACAGGTACGCCGCCGCTGCCCTCAGCCACTCCATTTTGCAAAGGCGCGTATTTGGGGAATGGCGGCCGGCTGCAGGCTTTTTTGCCCCTTTTCACGAGAACTGGTTGGGTTCATCGTCAAGCGGTGACGTGGTGCAAATTGGCTCCGTCGTTGGGAGTGATTGGATCCACGTGATTTATGACGCAGCTGGGGGTGTCTTGACGAGGGTATTGACCACCACGGCTCAAAATAGAATTCTGTGGAATAATTATTCTCTTTCATCTCTTGCATGCGAAGTCATGTATTTAAGACTGTCAGATCAAGCAACACTCCAAGCGGTTGCCCATCACTGTCTTCTATAGCCGTATTGCTTTACTTGAAACGTCAAAAAAGTAGTTGCAGGTCTCTTTAAAAGCTCTGCCGTCTAGCCAACATGTCTCTTTTGGCTGCGCCACCGACCATTACCAACAACCGGAATCTAACAGAGACAATTGAAGTAATTGGGATATATGGTTGGTGGCAGCTAGCTAGTGTGGTCAGCTACCCTGGGGTGCGTGTTTCGCCATGTCAGCAACACTTCTCATGCGACCAATCATTTTTACGACTCGTAGATTTAATATATATTTGGCTGGGTGAATGTACCAAGTGTATTAAGCCTCAAAACTAAATGGAATAAAGGTGGTTTACGTTTTGAGTCATGGTGAAGTCAGTAGCAATTCACCAAACCGCTGTTATTCTCACAATCACATCGCACCAATTCTCGAATGTTCAAGTTGAACTGGTATTCACTTGAAAATGTGGATAGTGTATTGGTTATTATGTATTATAGCTCTATTTCCAAGGCCTCCAACTCAAGTATTGACCATAATACACAGAGAGATCCGTCGGGTACGGTGATCGTCAAGGGTGCCGCTATTTACAGCAGAACAGCAAAAGCCACGACAGCGGCCACGGCGCTGCCGGCAATACGGGCTGCACCGCCAGTGACGGGGACACTAGTAGGGTTGGTCTGGCTACCAGACGTACCGGGATTGTTGCCGCCGGGGTTGTTGCCGCCGGTGCTCACGCCGCCGGTGCTCTGAGCACTGCCGGTCTTAACAACGGTGAGGGAGGGCGAATCGCAGCTGGTGGTAGGGAGAGGCGAGCGAGTGACAACGTCGTTGGTTGAGGAGGGCGTCTTGCAGTCAGGGCATGTCACAGTTGTAGACACGTTGGCGGCAACGGAGACGGCTGTTCAAGTTCATTGTGTAAGTAAGAGCAATTCGGAAAGACTGATTGACTGGCCAAGCAAGGGAGCCAACTTACAGGCCAGGGAGGCAACGATAGCAATGAACTTCATAGTGACGGTGTTCAAGAATAGTTCAACGGAGGAGGACTGAAAAATGAGGATAAACACTGCGTAAGGATGTAATAATGAGCGGTATGTGAACCTTTGGAAGAGGAAAACAGCGGGCATAAGGGTAGTAGTAGTTTACAGCAACCAGCTTGGTCCGCATCGAGTCAGTCGCCGCTCGTCATGGACAAAGTAACCTCGGGTTAGAATGGGGTACTAGCTCCGTCTGTTTGTCCGGCATATATGAAATGGTGTTGAGGCTAGCCAGGGATACATGCCTTCCGTTGGCGACTGTCCGTGTGAGCAAAGCAAATGTCGCTCGCTTCGCCCCGCGCGGACGTTCCCAAACCCGAACGCAAATCCGACAACAACCTTTCCCCCATAATAGTGTATCAAATACTATACGTCGTCTCTGGGCTATTTTATTCCTTCCCCGGATGCCCGCGGTTCCGAGCTGGCAACAATGGGGCGCGAGGCAGGCTAGCGGTTGCCACCATTCTTAGCGAGATCTGTTGCTGCACGGCACGCCCTGCAACTACAGCTAGCTAGCCGTGTTTCGTTTCGTTTAATTAGACACATCTTGAAAATCCTACGCTATATCAATGTGCCTGGCTAGAGGCGCATGCGTCCCGCGTCGCAGGGCGATCCACTGGTTGCTGGTAACAAGTGCTGAAGCATTGAGCCGGTATGGATGCTTCGTTTCGGCGATGAAACAAACATGGCATCGCCTGTCTCTCCAAGGTAAACTAGTTAGTTATGTATGAGATCAGATTCTTCCGTCCTGTCATAGATTCTGCCGACGGACAGGATTACTATTTGGGGAGGAGGTTCAGCGCGATCGATCAGGCTAGTTACCGCTTTGGGAAATGGGCGTCGCCGGCTGGTCGAGGTGCCGAGCGAGGCCGCCACCGCAAGGCTAGCCGGATACTAAGAGTTAGGCAGTTAGTTACCATCAGATAAACGTAAACTACCAACGTGCCAACCCCAAAGAATGACACGCTTGACCGGCACGCCGTGCATCCGTGCGACCTGGGCAGCACGCCAGGGTTTGTTTTGGAATCAAAGTTCTCGGTATACATGGCGGAAATTGCCTTTTAGTGAACAAGCTTGTTGCTATTAGTAACAAGCTTGTTGTTGTTAGTGCGTGCTGAGCTGCCCTCCATGACGAAAGCTTCGGAACATGGCCTGGAGGCACCAACGCTAAAACGGGCCAATGTGTTCTTCTCCTTGTACTGGTCAATGTCATGGAGTCATGGCCGGTTGAGAAACATGCCGATGTAAGACTAGTCCTGTGCTCTGGAGCATTCTTTCCGTCCCAGATGCGGCTTGGTGCCAGCTTGTGGCAGCCGGACGCGACAGACGGAACAATAAAAGCATGCTGCCAGCCGGCTTGTAACGCGCCTTCCTTCTCCTCCTCTCACTCCTATACACACAGCCATTTGATATCATTGTACAGTCATCAGCACCTATCACAATGCATTTCTCTCAAGCTACCATTGCGGCCGTTGTTGCTGCCGGCTTTGTCTCTGCCGCTCCTACCATTGAGAAGCGTGCTGGCATCACTGATGGTAAGAAACTTTGCACGAGGTGGAAAACTCAGAAGCGAGATCTAACATGAAGCAGCCGACATTCTCCAGTATGCCCTGACCCTGGAGCATCTCGAGGATACCTTCTATCGTGATGGTCTCGCCAAGTACTCCGAGGCCGACTTCCAGAACGCCGGATTCGACCCCAAGGTTTACGCCAACTTCAAGACCATCTCCAGCGATGAGGCTGCCCATGTCGACTTCCTGACCAAGGGCCTCACTGGTAAGCATCTACTTTGACCTTTTCCCTACCTACACCCACTAACTAACCCTCCTCAGCCGCTGGCGCCAGCCCTGTTGCTGCTTGCACGTACGAGTTTGGCTACAAGGATGTCAAGACTTTTGTTGCCACCGCTTCCATCCTTGAGGGTGTTGGTGTGTCCGCCTACCTCGGCGCCGCCGCCGACATCATGTCCAAGTCGTACCTCACGGCAGCTGGCTCCATCCTGACCATCGAGTCGCGCCACTCGGCGTACATCCGCGCCAGCCTCGACCAGAAGCCCTTCCCCCAGCCTTTTGATACCCCTCTCTCCTTCAACGAGGTCTACTCCCTGGCTTCGGCTTTTATCACGTCCTGCCCCGATACCAACGCGAAGCTGCCCGTCAAGGCCTTCCCTGCCGTTGCCGTCGCCGCCGACACCGCGCAGCCGATTAAGTCTGGCGACACGATTGTGCTACAGACCCCCGGCTACCTGCTCCAGGGCGCCAGCAGCGACACCAAGATCTACGCTGCCTTCATTGCCGTCACCGGCCCCGTCTTCGCCGACGCCACGCCAGTTGACGGTGGCTTCCAGGTCACCATCCCCGCAGGCTTCGCCGGCCAGACTTACGCTGTTCTTACCAGCTGCAAGGACGCTGTCAACGACGACACCATCGCTGCTGGCCCTGCCATCATCGAGATCTCTTCTTAAGTGGTACCGCTCAGTGTTCAAACTTGTTTGCGTTGACCTGATAACCTTAATACGTCATGTATAACTGAATAATTATTAATTGAAACATACCAAAAAATTATAACCTAAACCAGAATTGAACCAAAGTTTGTCACCCGCTCGGGAATTTTATGTCGTGACATACTTAACCCTGCTGCCTCATTCGAACGTTTGCCCTACCTATTTATTGTTTCCCCCAGTGTTGAACAGTAATCTGATTGCCTTTCAAGGCTTGTTAACCTGGTAAAAACTGTAAAACCTACCCGGCAAAGGGAGCCAAACCTTTCGCCTGGATTTTCTCAGGCACATTCATTCTCTTACTTTCATTTTCCCAAATTTTAGCCAAATTTCATACGATTGAAAACGCTCCGAGGCAAGTCCCGGTTGGTACCATTTGGTATGACTAAGCATCTCCCATCATGTGATTCAGCGCCAAAAACCTGGAGCCCGCCAAATTAGCGTAGGCAATGCGCAGCGAGCTTCAGCGCGCCGGGAGACATCAAACAACACCTCAAACCATCTTATTAAAGATAAACCTGGGCCGTTTAATACTCAAACAAAATCGTCCGGTTCTATAAAGCTTTTCCGCTTCACATCACTCGGCTACATCATAGGCGCATGTGTCACAGCCTCCAGCGCTAATCGCACGACCAGGCGGGCCCTGAACCTGGCAGCATGGCCTACGAGCCTCGCGGAGACTACAATGATCGCGGCGGCGGCGGTCAAGGACAGGATGGAGGATTCGTCAAAGTTAGAGGTCGACGTATGTGCATAGTTGCGTCATAATCTGCCGTCTATGGCAGAAGGCCAGACCCATGGCGGGGACTGACTATGAGCTCCAGCTGACACCTCGCAGGACCTGTGACCGACTTCAGCTCAACCATAATTCACTGGCAGCGCAATAGAGTACCCAACTATAAGGGCTCATACATTGGCGAAGCTGAGAGACCTAGCCCAAGCTACATTATTGATGTTTGTAAACGGTCTGGGATATATACTGGGCGCTGCGCTAACCGAGGGCCAGATGCTGCCACCTGTCGCAAGGCCGACGAATCCGGCAGACACCATTCCAGCCAAACATCTACACTCGTCCCTGAACAAGATCAAACATCCTGTCAACGTGGTTCGATGGACGCCAGAAGGCCGTCGACTTCTCACCGCCTCGACCAGTGGTGAATTTACACTATGGAACGGCACCGGCTTCAACTTTGAGACGATCATGCAGGCACACGACTCGGCAATTCGCGCGCTAGAATACTCTCACAGTGATGACTGGCTCGTGTCTGGTGACCACGATGGACTCATCAAATACTGGCAGCCCAATTTCAACAACGTCCAGAGCATCAATGCTCACTCGGATCCGATTCGCGATCTGGCATTCAGCCCCAACGACGCCAAGTTTGTCACAGCGTCCGACGACTCTACCTTGAAAGTGTTTGACTTCGCTTTGGGATCGATGGAGACAAAGCTGGAAGGACACGGCTGGGATGCCAAGTCAGTCGACTGGCATCCGACAAAGGGTCTCCTGGTTTCGGGTTCCAAGGACCATCTAGTTAAGCTATGGGATCCGAGGACAGGTCGTTGTTTGACCACTCTACATGGACACAAGAGTACGATTACCAAAGTTCTGTTTGAAAGAGTACGGGGTAGCTGCTTGGCCACTTCTGCACGAGACCAGACGGCGCGTGTTTTTGACCTGCGCATGATGCGCGACATTTGTTTGCTCAAAGGCCATGAAAAAGACATTTCCACTGTCGCATGGCATCCTGTTCACGCCAATTTGCTATCTACTGGCGGCATGGATGGCTCACTGTTCCACTACCTGCTCGACTCACCCAACACGCCAGCAGGCCAGCAGCTCACCGTGGCGCCCTACGACAGCCCGGACCCGACGACAACTCCGGCACAGTCCATCTGGCCAACTCACAAACTCTCGTTTGCGCATGACTACGCGATCTGGTCGCTCGATTGGCACCCGCTAGGCCATGTCTTGGCATCCGGCTCCAACGACAGAATCACGCGCTTTTGGACACGTGCGCGCCCCGGCGACACGGACGTCTTCCAAGATCGCTACCACATCGGTGAAGCGGCGGCGGAGGTGCAAGGCACATGGGACCGCCGCGGCTACCGTCGGCAGCGGCAAGAAGAAGAGCAGCAAGAGATTGAAGATGAGATGGACGCGCTCGTCGACCAGGATGCGCAACGGCCTGCCAACGGCGCTGGCGGGCTTTCCTTGCCTGGCATTCCCGGTCTCCCGCTTGGCGGCGGCAGCATGGTGCCTGGAATAGGGTCGGCCGTGCCGCCGCCTCCTCTGATCCCAGGTGTCGGCGCAAACGGCCTTGTCCCCCCGCCCGGCCAGTTCCCGCCGCCTCTTTTCCCCATGCCAGGCATGAACGGCGCTCCCCCGCCGCCTCTGCCGGGCTTCGACTCCAACAACCCCCCGAACCCGATGCAGCTGCTCGAAATGATGAAGAAGGCGGGCATGCCCCTCCCGCTCCCGGGCCAGCTACCGCCAGGTCTCATACCGCCGCCCGGGGCGGGCGGCTTGCCGATTCCCCCGCCTCCTATTCCCATGGGCTTGGATAAGAACAGTGACAACGGCCGTCGACGAGCCCCTTTGCCGAGCCAGGAGGACAGCCTGCGGGAAGAGCAACGACACGGACACTACAAGCGGATACGGTAGGGACGATGCAATTTGGAAAAGTGGCGGCTAAGGTTTTTTTCGGGTCATCATCAGTTCCGGCGTAATGTATTTGATCGTACTTCAGTGGTGGCCTTAGACAAGGCGTGTAATATAGAAGAAGCCTTAAATGCTTTCAATATGGCGCAATATGCAAGTTACCTCCTGAAGCTAGTCGTTATGGCTTATAAAGACATGCGAGGGAGTAAATAGACGAAGCTCGCCCGCTGCCAACGCTTCAAGGCTTCACCACCTAATTAGATCAATGTTGCTCATACCGTTGACTCACTGTGAACTTTGCTCAAAATGCCACCGAGAGTCTTGGTTTCTTGAACGCAACTCGAGACAAGAAGTATTTGGTTAGTCCGTTACTTGAAGTTGCTCTCCCGTCGATGTTGGCGTCCTGGCTGGCTACTGCCTCCGCCCGCGGAGGACTCCTTAGCCCGTATCTGCCTCAACGTGTGATACGTCTGGTCTTACGAAAGGGACAAGAGCCGCATGCACGTAACTTCGGACAGTGGCTCCCCTCCCGATTCGCCGCGTGGCCGCCTTGCCTTGGCAGCTTGTCTACGCTGTCGAGGGCTGCCGCACCTCCGTCGACGCGGCCATGTCAGGTGTGCCGAAAATGGAAGAAGCAAGGACGAAAAAGGGAATACCGTGGCTTTTTTCTCTGAAAAGAAGCCCTTCTCAGCTGCCACTTTTTGGGTTCTTTTCAAATTTCACAAAACCTTGCTCCAACACGTGTAAAACCAGCACAGCTTGAATTGCTGTATAGTTTGCGAATGAGCTTCTGTAGGAAAAGCTAGTCTACTGGATAGGTAAATCTCTGGATGTTTGGTAGTTTCAAGAAAGCTGCAGAAAGCCTGTTTCCGCGCGGTGTAGTTGATTCTATGACATCTTTGTCTGATGCAGGCCGGAGGACAGTCTCGCGGATACGTGTCGGTGAGGTAGCTGAGGTTGCAGCCGTTAGACTTGGAATCCGCGGCCTGCCCCGGAGAATGTAAGATTACCTGCTTCTTTGGGAAGAAAAACGATATGTAATCAAGCTCGAGCAAAAAATCTTGGAACAGCGTGCCCATCGCGCGTCAAGCAGCAGGGATGTTGCATCCGTCGGCCGGTAGCTGCACTTTCAGCTTTCCAATTGAATACGAGTTCCGAAGGCCGCCGAAGCATGGTATGGGCGGCAGGAATAAGGACACTTTGATAGGCTATAGCTGAAAGAAACATTGGATGATGGAGCGTTGAGCAATCAAGCTGCAGTTCTTGGCGTCAGCCACGGCCATCAAGGTTGCTTGCTCCGTCACGACAGGCAGCTCTGAATTTAAGCTTAAATTTTCCTGTCTCGAGACATAGCTCCGCTCTGCAGATTTTTTTTTTTACATAATAGTCGTTCATGTATAACTACCTGGTTCAGGAGTAGAGAAACTCGGCTCCGACCGAGCAAGCAGAAAATAAAACTCTAACAATGCTTCCCAGGCTAGCTCACAGGAAGCGAAAGTCAGGTCGTCTTTGTTGGATGTGCGATGCGGCGGAGTGGATTTACTGGTAATAACATGTATGTAATTCAGCCATCCATCTATGCCAAGACTTCAGCTCCATCGCCGAAAATACCGTGGTATTATACCATGTCTCTGATTGAGGCGCGAGAGGGGAGGACATGATGCTCGTCCTCGTTGGCTACTGTCTTAATAGAGGAGAATCGATGCCGTCGCAAGTTTATGCCTGTGCAATATGCTCTCCTCTTATAGGACTGCAATTTAGTTGGTTATTTTCCGTCCGCCGCCAGCCGGTGACCTGCATGAGTCGATACTGGGGCACAACACCACAGAGGTTCTCACGAGGCGTCTTGGCAGCGCAGCCAAGGTGTGCTGCAGGTTGTAGTTTCCATACAAAGAACTGTGGCTCAACGGGAGCTACATCTATTAGGAGAGCCAAAATTGCCTAGTTGGTGCCTGTATCTATTGAGTGTTTACCTTAGCGACCCCCTAGCCACAGATTGTAGACGACCTTGGTGGCGTGGTTGACTGTTAGTCAAGCCCTAGCCAAAGCGAAGTCGAAAGTCTTGGTCCTTGCGGCAGCCGGGTATAAAAGCAGCCCACCTCCGCCCTTTGCTGACCACATCTTTTGTCCTTTTCCTCTACACGTCCATCAAATACCCCTTTGTTGCTAGTTCAAGATGCAGTTCAAGTCGCTCGCTTACGTGCTGCTCGGCCAGTCGGCTCTGGTCGCCGCGCAGTCAGCCACCACCACGGCCCCATCGGCGGTCGCGACGTGCGAGCCGCACGAGGACCACTGGCACTGCCCGTCGGGTGTGGTCCAGCCGTCGCTCAACCCGGACGGCTCCGTCAACACCAAGGCAACCCCGAGCGCGTCGCAGGGCGCGAGCGCGTCGCAGAGCAGCAGCAGCCATGATGATCACGACCACGACCACGATCACGACACCACGGCGACTGGCACAGCCAGCGGCAGCGCCTCGGCCTCGGCCACCACCACCGTCGCCACCGGCCCCAACGGCTGCACGCCGCACGGCGACCACTGGCACTGCCCGTCGGGCGTCGCCAAGCCCACCACCCCTCCTCCCGGATACACGCCGCCCGCCTCGTCCAGCGGTGCTACCACCAGCCGTGCCTCAGCCAGTGCGACCCCTTCGGCCACCCCCGTCGCTGGTGCTGCCGGCCGTGTTGGACCCCTCGGCCTTTCCGTCGTTGTCGGCGGCGGCCTCTTGCTCGGCGCTCTTTTCCTGTAAACTCTGCCGCGGCGGAGACAGTGTACAGAAGTCGAGATGTTCAAAGATCGATTCCAAAGGCAGATGGTGCTATCATAATCACATGGAAAAGGGTGGCGGATAATATGTACATGGCTGTGTATCAATAGACATGACAATAGCAGAATACGAAAAACAAGTCACTCGACCCCCTTTTCAGTAAGCGTGCAACGGCCGTGGTGTAGTATACACGGTGCGACCGGCTCTCAACCAGACAAGGTCGTGCCGATTTCATGCACGATGCGATGCGGTGCGAAGTTGTGCAGCGGATCATGCCGGCTGTGACGCTGAGTCGACGGTCGCGGGAGCTATGCCGGACGAGGCCGTGAGCCTCATCAGGGGAGACATGACGAATGGAGATGTCATGATGTCAGCAGAGAGGAATCTCAGCTGGTGCTGCATACACGCGCGAGGGTGGTGGTGTCTGTGGTGGTTGTCGAGTCACGGACAGGTGGTCACGGGTCGTGATGGTATAGGCAGGCGACAGGCTGCGGTGCGTACAGGCATGAGTGATTTATGACAGCAAATACAGATGTGCAGACAAGATGACTGACTAGTTGTTCGTAACATGGAAGTTGATAAGCCGCAGCTGAATGATGATGGATTTAGAAAGTTAGGTGAAAGAACGGCCTGCTGTGCGGCGATGGCCATAAATAACTGACCCCACTTCACGACAGCGCCAGTCGCAGAGCGAGCGATTTCAGGCCCCAATAATGTTAATGTTAGGATGAGGCTAAAGTATAATGTGTAAGCTCACTTTGTGTAAAATGGGGTATTATCAAATAAAATAGCAGAAGTTACGTAGATAAATACAACTAGAAAGTCAGAAAATTCGAGAGAATTCACCATTTCACTGCCAAAGTGATACGGTGTCTGTCTCCACCAATACGCGCGCCGTCTTTTCTCCATGTGGCCCAGCTTCGTTTCTTCAACCTCGCAAAAGCCAGACTCGGAAAACAAGCCACATGAACACGGGTGTTCAGTAGGAAGGCCCCCGTGAGCGAAGGACCCCAAAGCCCTACCACAAACCTCCCGGCTGACTTGTTCCCGCTCCCAGGCAGCTACGGTGTTTTCCTATAAATTCTCGGACCATCCAGCAGCTCTCCTCGTCGCCGCGGAGCCAAAGCCACCCACCATGTCCAAACAATCCATCGCCATGATTGCTGCTCTCAGTGCTGGAGGCGGCGCCGCCCTCACGGCCGCCGTCTACTCCTTGCGCTCCAAACCCGACCAACAACAGCAACAACAACCGACACCCACGCTCCCCGGCGCGTACCCATCACCGCCGCAGCAAACCCCCCTAACCGCCGCCCTCGGCACGCCTCTTTCTACCGGCGTGGCCGCCGCCCCCTCGCCCGTCAACCCGTCCGGCCTCTTTGAGTACGGCTTCCCCGGCCCCGTCGCCGACGTCGCCGCGCGCTCCGCCCTCGTCTCCAGCTACGACCGCCGCACGCGCAACCCGCACTGGGTGGCTGAACACATCACGCCCGCGTCCCTCGCGCGCCGCGACGCCGACCGCAAACACAGCACCTTTCTCGAGGACACGGCCGTCCCGCCGCAGTTCCGCGCCGGCCTCAAGGACTACTACCGCAGCGGCTACGACCGCGGCCACCAGGTACCCGCCGCCGACGCCAAGTGGTCTCAGCAGGCCATGGACGACACCTTTTACCTCACCAACATGTGCCCCCAGGTCGGCGAGGGCTTCAACCGCGACTACTGGGCCCACTTTGAGGACTTTTGCCGCCGCCTGACCGTCCGCTACCCCTCGGTCCGCATCGTCACCGGCCCGCTCTACCTCCCCCGCAAGGATCCGGCGGACAACAAGTGGTATGTCAAGTACGAGATGATTGGCAGCCCGCCCTCCGTCGCCGTGCCTACGCACTTCTACAAGGTCATCTTTGCCGAGGATGGCAAGGCTGGTGGCAATGTCGCCCTCGGCGCCTTTGTCCTCCCCAACGCTCCCATCGACAACAACAAGCCTATTACCGACTTTGAGGTCCCCGTTGAGGCCGTCGAGCGCGCCAGCGGCCTCGAATTCGCCTCCAAGCTACCCGCCCAGCGCCGCAAGCGCCTCTGCGCTGATACCACGTGCGCCTTGGTCATCAAGGACTACTCCGACAGGCAAAAGGCCTTCGCCAAGGGTGATAAGCGGGCTTTGCCGCCTACGCAATAGTCGAAGCTACATGTCTTTTGATGACCTCTGCTATTTTATTTTTTTAGCTTGATGTACTGCTTATATTCCTCGCAATCCTCACTATTCACACTCTCAGCATTGTCATCCTTGTCATTTATGTCATGGTTGCCATCTCTCTTACCATCAGCGTCACCTTTTCACTGTTATTCTAGAAAACCAAGACAAGCTGGGTCTAGGGGGTATAGACTTTACATTTTCTGTATATTAGCTTCACATGTCGTATAGAATTAGCCTCGCATTTATAATAGATAGCACAGAAACAACCCACTGAACAGTATATCTTAAACCCAGACTGGGGGCGATGCCACAAGCCTCCAAACCACGTCGAGTGCCAGGACTACAACTGACTGGAAACTTGAGCAGGAAACGACGTATAGAGGTCAGCGCACCGCAGTGAAATCTAACCTGTGGCAACGGAGACGAACAGCGCGCCTAATATGTGTACCAGGTCATATGACTCGTCGATCTGAGATGTCTTGAGACCTGTACGTTGTTGAATAAAGCATGTCCGGTTGAGCTGGTCAATCTCGCTCACACCAAGAAATTCAGAGTGATCACTGAAGCTATTTCAAGAATACGTCCTGCGACGCAAAATAAAATGGATGATGAATAGCCTGGTCGTGCTTCGGAACCATGTCCGCATCACGAAACATCACGGAAGAAGACAACTCTCAATGGAAACCAGGCAGACCGCTTCTCCTATAGACAAACGCCACCACTTTCTCTAACTAGCAAAAGTCACGACACTCTAGTGATACAGACATCCCTTTGTCAGGGAACTTGTGGCATTCCCACAGCACTCAGCAAGCTTCATCAAGCAAAGAGTCGAGGACAAGATATCTTGGCAAGGCAAAATCAGAGGCAGTAAGTAGTGGCTGGCAATTCGTACAGATACAGGAAGCGAGCCGGCCGCATTACAATTTTTGTTTATGTAAACCACAAGATTCTATCAATCCACCCCTGGAAAAAAAAAAGTCTTCCCGAACCTCGGCGGCAGACGGCCGTTCCCCTCACATTCACACCAGGCACACGCCGAGGCACTAGTCTTGTCGCTTCTCTTATCCCAGCAGGAGAATTGCACATGCTAGCAGTATGTCGATCAGGCTCCTCAACACCATGCCGCGGGGGGGTTTCGTACGCGCCGAGGGCTCATCTTCAGTTGAGAAACTAACAGACAACGGGACAGGGCCAATTTTGCGTGGCGAAGCGTTTTCCTGCACTCGCTACATTTCCGCACAGAAGTAGAATATTTGCCGCCAGGGTCTAATGGGCCAAACCGAATTACATGTAATATACCAACGCACGAGCAATTGTAATACAGGGGATAATGTGATATGGGTCCAGCCTATGCCCCTTTGTGGTATTCCCGGTCTTCTGTCCGGCGGTATAGAATATATTGACCCTGTCGTTGGGGCTCACCTATTCTTATGCGCAGGGTCCCGTCGCAGATATTGACTGGGAAAAAAGTGCGGGCTGACATGATTGCTGCAGGGAGATGTCCTTGGCCAACAGAGGATAGCTTCTTACGGCGCTGGCGCTATGGGCCGACCCAATGCAAATACCAAGTGTCGGTGTCGCAAATGTCCATCGACGAGCCGTCAAGACCGCGGCCGTTGAAGCAGCTAGCGTTGTTGAGTAACAAACTTAGTTAGGTAGGTAGTCAAAAGTTAAGAGCAATGTCCACGATCGTCTTATCCACAGAGGGGCTGACGACGTTAACAGACCGAGCAGGGCGTTTTTAGAGCTGTTGGGCAGCCGGAAATTACATATGTGGCCGGCATGGCAACATGGTCTGTTCGACCGTCGACGTGGACACGGGGTTGGTGCACGAGCTGGATGAAGTGCGGTGTGTCGATCTCATGCCAACTAACTATGTATTAGAGCGCGAGCAACGGTCAGGTTGTGTGTGGTGGGTGGTGGGAGACAGCGTTCCCGCACTTTGGAGACGCGGCCAGGGTATGCGCGGTGACGTAGGAGCAAGAGTCTAGAACACGCCCCGGAAGGGCAGTCTGATGCAGGCGTGAGGGCGCTGTGTAACGACCAGTCAACAAGACGATGCAACTGAGCGAATACAGAAGCGTCGGCAGTTTGCAGTGAATCCTGCGAGCAAGGTGCAAACGAGTCTGGAGGCGCGAAGTCAGCTGTCGTGTGATACAACCGCCCATACGAGAGGGCTTATCGTGAGCTGGTGGTCGCAGCAGCACAAGATGCGTCATCGGTTGCACATTGCTCAGTCGGGAGACGACTGCCCAACAGGTCGCTTGTCGAGATAACAGCGTCGAACATGTCCATCATCAGACAAAGCTGCGCAGCAGGGTTATCCTTGTGGGTGACATGTTTACCAATAATTCGAGACAAGGCCGAGACGACGGGGCTATTGAAAAGGTTGGTGTGGAGAGGAGCTGTTGCGTGAGTTGGGCTGAGATGAATGGCGCTCGAAATTGGCTTGGGCAGTTCTGAGCTGGCCATGGAGAAAAATGGCGAGAGGCCACAGAGTTGGAACTCTGGAATGGGGGAGCCTGGGAGGGAGAGACGTATCTAGGGTCCGATGATGTAATAGTTAAGTGCTTGCTGGCGGTGGCGGACCCCTGCTGGCGCGAGTCGGCCCCGGCTCCCGCCGTCTTGAAGAGCATGCGTGCTTTGGTTTGCAGTTGGCTAGTTGCCGACTTGGAGAGGCGGTATGGAGTAACTATGGCCGGCCATAGGGTTAGGTATGCATTTGTTATTGTGAGTATTCCGTCCTGGGTCAAGAATTGCCGCGAAGAGCAAGCAAATTCGCGGATGATGCAGTATAATGGATTTTTCCCTTGGTGGATGCAGAATGCCAAGCACGAACTAATAAGCGGCAGCGAGTGTGGGCCAGTTCATTACGTCGCGGAGCCACCTGGGCAGCTCGAGTTTTCTTTCATCTTGGTCGATGCTTTGTGTGAGGAGGAAGAAACCCCCATTTTGGAGGTCGACCGAGTCCAGACAATGCCATGTGGGTGTGGTGTGGAGGGGCATGGCTGAGATGGAAGACGCTAGAGTGCGTGTTGATGAGGGGCAAAGGTTGCGAGTAGAATCCAAAGGGCTGGCTGGGTGTAGGGTGGTTGGAGAAGGATGCTGTTTGAACGACAAGGTATGGCGACAGAGTGATTGCCCTCGGCTCTGCTGATTATGCGCGAGGATTGTCTCGATTATTTGTCAGACTTGTTGGTTGTAACCTGTTGGGAACGTCGTTGCTGGCTGGAGAGTCGTCACGCCCCTCTTTGGTTTGGCAGCAAGGGAGGGGCAGATCTGTAACCATGACTTGCGAATGCAGCTAGTCGCCCGACGATGCTGGTCAAGCCAAGAGTACGGGAATAGGCTCGATGGAAAGTGTGACTGAAATCGAAGGGGTGCATCGGCCGAGTCGCTGGAGGGTGGCCTGGCATCGAGACTGGACCACTGGCCCGATGAGCGGGCGAAGCATTGATGTTGATGCTCGGACTGGCAAATGGGGGCTTTGATCTGAGAGATTTTGGCGCGCGCATGAGGTGTGGCACGAGAAAGACGGGCCTGTGACGTCGTTTTGCCTGTACGTATGTGCAGATTAGCTTTGACGCTAGAAGGAGTGTTGTGCGTGACGGACCTGAGATGGCAACAGCACCAGGAGCTATAGCAGAGAGGGCGAAATGTGAAAAAAAAAATGGCTAGGGCCGACAAGTTGAAATGGTGTATATCGGACCGACCTAAGAGGGGTGTTTGGGGGTGGTGAGAAGGGGTGGCGATGGCACGAGGTTGTGAATGGATTGTTGTTTGCTGCGATGATGCAGTTGGTTGTATTGGAGTGGGTTTGGTGGTGATGGTTGGTGGTGGTGATGCCAACTGAGCCACGAGCTTGGAGGTACGGTACCTACAAGTAGGTACACAAGTACCTCCAGTCACTCCAGTCACCTATCACCTACCAGTGACTGTCGTGTAAGTGTTTGGCTCGCCGGACGCTGTGAACGGGGGCCGCGTCCAGAGTGCAGCCCCGTGTTTTTAGGGAATGCTAAATGTTTGTTGTTATTCACTTGTGCTTCCTGCTTTCTCTAACACCCTTTCTTTTCTTTCTTTTTTTTTTCTTCACGGGTCGGTGGATTGATGGAAATAGTTTCTGATGCTGACCTGCAGCCTCAGTGGAGGTTTTAAGGGCCTCGATCCACCGAGTCCACTGTGCGCCCACCGGTAGATACCTGTGGTTTGGGGGGAATCAGCCAGTAGCAACGTGCGCTGAACAGCCTACATTGAGGTACCTGAGTGCAAGGGCCTCGGGGTTGTCCACTAAAAGGCCCAGATTGTTCGCTCAAAAACTCCAGATTTTCCACTAAATGGCCTAAATTGCCTCTATAGGGTGTCCGAATTGTCCACTGTAATCACTGTAAGGCGTAATGAGGCAGGTAAGGAAAACCCGCCAAAAACCCCCCCCTCTTTCAGTTGTGACCAAAAAAGCGCCGCCCTCGCCTTTCAACGTACCTGTTCCTCTCGTCCTCACGCAACCACCACGTTATTCCATCACCCAGTCGCCCTCCACCCAATTCCTGTCCATTCGTCCATCCGCAAGCCATCTCCGTCTGTCCACATTGTCCACCTCACTAGTACCGCTGTTCCCTGCAAGGGTGCCTGTTCTTCTCTCATCTCGCCCTCTTGCCGCCGCACCGTTCCACCCTCCAACCCTCGTACGCCTCTCGCCAAAAAAGAGCTTCCCCGCCACGTTCGTCGCAAAAGCAAATTCGCGCTGCGATTGCCATCCTCGTCCTGCGAGCCATCCTTTCTCCGAACCAATCTCCAACCTGGTCTCGCTTGCTTCCTCGCTCAACGCCTCTCGTTAAAGCCGACTAGTGCCGCTGCACCTTCTTTTTTCCTGCTTCAGCCGCTCTCGCCGTCCCGCACCTGGTTGTCCAAACTCAACCACCAAGCAAACGTCGCGTACCGCATTGGCATACGCACACTCCGTACTCCGTACACATTGCTGCTGCATCCAACCTGTCTGTCTTCGACTCCCCTGGTTGACCAGCAAGGATCCGCCCGCCCTCCCGGAACGCTTCCGGGCATTTTCGTACACACATAGCATACAATCGGACTCACCATCGGTAAGAATTCTCCAAAATGACAAGCACCACGCCAAATGTCACCCACAACTCCCCTGCCATGCCCCTTCGTCATTCTGCTCGCCCCTCCCCAAGCACTGGCTCCTCGTCTACTCTGCCGTGCTTGTCCTCTGTCTCGCTTTTTGGTGCGCCCTCGCTCAGGGCTTTGCCGTCGACATGTTGTGCGATGCGCCATGTCCCTGCCATGGCTCGCTGGCCTTGGTTGCGCCCGTCTCACGGCCCTCTCTCTGTCGTGCGCCCGCTCGCTTTCCGCCTCGCCATCACCTAACCGCCCGCGATGCGATGACCCCGCGGCCTGCCACCAACCCAGCTTAGCTCCAGCGAGCTGACACCGACCTTGCCCTCTGGTCCTCTGGATAAGCTACTGCTATAGGTACGGAGTACCAGCACGGCATATTCGTACCTCAACACAATACCTAGACGCATGGAGCTACGCATGTAGGCCTGGCCTGGCGTACCGATGCAGATATGGCTGCAGCGTTGTCCTCCACGCCCAACCGTACCATCCGTCACAAGCGTCAAGGGTCACAATCCGTTCCTCAGGCTCCGGCTCCGTCGTCTGGCCTCGCCTCGTCTCTCTCTTCCCCCGCGGCATCGACCCCAGTGGCGGAAGACCCCTGCTATACATATACACCACTTCCTTCCCCTGCCGCTCCCGCTCCCGCCCTCCTACTTCATGCTTCCTCCATACCCTGCTTCCTTCTCATCCTTGCTGTCCACTTGTTCATTTTCTCCCTCTCCTAATCCATCCGCCGGCGCTATTCATGCTTTCCATGCTTTCCCTCCCCCCCCAACGCCCAGCCGTCTCGCGCTCCTCGTCTTCCTACCCACCCACATACACCTGCAGTGAAAACTGTTCCTGCGCCAACATGCCAGCCGCGGGCGCTGAAGATGATGTTGGTTCTCGAAACAGCGGCCCGTCGGGATCTGCTGCCTGTACCAAGCAACATAACTGACTCTTGGTTCTGTAGTACACTGACGACGAAATGGAGATTGACCTCGGCGACACGATCGACATGCCGACTTTTAGTCAGATCCTTGAAATGGACGAGCCTGGCGACCGCGAGTTCTCTGCGTCCATCGTCTTTGGCTTCTTCGATCAGGTTGAGGAGACTTTCGCCTCGATGGACAAGGCTGTGTGAGTCGCTGCCCACTGGCTCCAACCCTTGGCGATGGGCGCACTAACACTGGTTGCAGCGCGGAGAAGAACTTGGAAGAGCTCTCCTCGCTCGGCCATTTCCTCAAAGGGTCCTCGGCTACCCTTGGTCTTGTGCGAGTACGTGACGGCTGCGAAAAGATTCAGCGCTTTGGCAAGCTGGAGAACGAGGACGGCTCATCAGAACCCGACGCCGACCTGTGCCTCGAGCGCCTCAAGGAGGCACTCGCTACCGTAAAGATGGACTACCAGGCCGCCGAAATACGACTCCGCGAATTTTACAAGGCAGAGGAGAATCGCGAAGAAGCCTAATCTCGCTACATGCACGCCTTATACCCTGGAGCCGGGTGCGGATTCCATGCCCGAAAATAGATTCGTTGGCGAGCGGTAATGCAACGAGGGCTGCAGACGCATCAGCACAGATGCACTGACAGCGTTGGTCGTCTATGGCAGGATAGACTCCCAGAGTATTGCATCTAAATGTATGCAGTATGCGCCATGCCAGACGCTTGTACAGATTATACGGACGATTGACATTGGGGAGGATCGGTTGGACATGACTACTCAGCGTGATTCGCTGCATGACATTGGGGGCGCTATTTTGAATACCACGTTTGCATCGGCAGTATACCCACGAGGACACTGCTTTTTACGAATCAAAACATTTTGACCCTTCGTGCTCCGCTGCTTTGGAGCCAGCTCACCTAGACTTGCCACTACAGAGACCGTAGGACGAGAACAGCCGTAAGTGTAAGCTTTGCCAAGATATTCCCAAGGCTTGATTGACCGTGAAATTTGACTCTAAACCTCGTGCTAATAGAGAGGTCTTTGAGAAGGATAGTGCGTGAAACAGGGTATTGACCAAGCTTCACGCTCGGCCAGCACGGGTACAGTGCGGATGAACAGGGGAGATGTTTACCAAGCAGACTTCTTACCTATAGCTTAGTCTCGAAAACGGCGCCAATTTAATCTTTCCTATGTAATAAATGTCCAGAAATGGCCGTGGCTGTGCTGTCGATCTCAAGCGAGATCGATGCCGTGCAGCCCACTTACGGCTAACTACCTACTAGTTAAATAACCCACACGTTTCACGGCCACCCACCAAACGAACAAACCATGCTCTCTCCACCACAACTTGGTCAGCCAGTCCCGCCCAATACGTTTTATTTTACCTCTTCTTTGCCAATCTCCTCGTCATTACCCCTTCTTTTTTTTTTTTTTTTCTTTTTTTCCCCGCGCGCAAAATGGCAGCTCGTCAAGCTGGGCCTGCGCGTCAGAGCACCAATCCCACGCACTTCCTCTGTATCCCTCTTGGACGGCGCCAGCTTGCGCGCAACATGACCGCCTTTCGCGCCGACGTGACCAACATCAACGCCGCCGAACCCTTGCCGCCCGACGCGGTACGGCCACCGGGCACCATGCACATTACGCTCGGCGTCATGAGTTTGCCGCAACCGGCGCAGCTGGAGCGGGCAACGGCGCTGCTGCGGGGGCTCCGCCCACGGGACATCCTCGTTGAGACGAGGGCAGCACTGCGGCGGCGATCCTGGGGGTTGGCCGGCCCGGCAGCGTCGCAGGAGAGAAATGTGTGGCTGACCCTCAAGGGACTTTATGCCATGCAGAGCCCTGTCAGCACGGGTGTACTGTACGCGCAGCCGCTGGATGCTGCCGGGCAAGGCGCGGGGCTGTTGTATGCCTTCTGCCAGGCGGTGCGGCAGAGGTTCATCGACGCGGGCCTGATGGAGGCAGAGAGGAGGCCGTTTTTGCTGCACGCGACGGTCGTCAATACGACGCACGTCAAGCAGGCACGGCCGCGGGAGAGGCTGCTGCTGGATGCGCAGGCGCTGTTGGACGAGTATGCGGAGCATGTTTGGTTGGACCGCCACGAGGTCCGGACGCTGGCCATTTGTAAAATGGGCGCGAAACCAAAGGGGATGCGCGGCGACGCGGCGTACGAGGTGGTGGAGGAGGTGGTTGTCTAGGCTGCCCTGGTAGCGACTGCGACCGACGAGGAGCATGGCGAGGAAGGAACGGTGCGAATGACATGGACTTGTTGATGCACTGGGCCCGAGATAAGAACTTCGAGGGTGCATGTGCTATCAGTAAATGTGTCTCCATTATCATAGCCCGTATCGGGGTGGCATTTTTACGGTCGGCAACGTCCACGAGCATCATGGGCGACGCGCCTCTTGCTGTCCCGGAGAGGGGCGGATCCAGCTCAAGCTGGACGACAATATCCGAGTCCTCGTCTCCTGCAGAGACGACAAGTTCCGGACTCGCCTCTCCTGACGCTCTGAAAATGCACCGTATTACTACTACCACCGTGGCGTTTGCGCGGTCGCAAAGGCAACTTCACCAGCAACTGTGGTTTCTGCGGCGGAATATGGAGGCCACCGGCGACCTTCCTCCATCCGTTTCGATGCTAATTGGCTGCCTCCGGTCATTCAAAAGAGCAATCTATGATTTTTCTTTGCTGCTGAAATTAAAAGGAATGGCGCTTGCCCCATCGACTCTCCAGTTGTATGATCGCATGCTGAATGTGTGCAAGACGTGTGTTGGCCAGCTCGCAACGAAGTTCCAGCAGTGGACCGACCTTGACCGGATTGACCCGGAAGACGACCGTCTGTATTGGCGGCCGCACGGCCAAGAGTATGGACGGTGGAGCGAATTATACCTGACACTGGTGGCACTGCAGATTACTCTCTGTTGCGAAGTGTTCCGCCTCGGTGCCAACTACAGCCCTCTGTAAGTGAAAGAATAAGGACACAACTGTCGAACAGTCCACCCGGACGGCAGAGGCTAATGGATGATCAGAGCCGACAGTTTAAGGCACATCAAATTACCGTTTCCCACGGCAGAACTTTGCGCGGTGTCAACCCAACTGGAGCTCACGGCTCTCGGTCTTGACAGCGCATGGTCAACCCTTGAGGCGCGTCGGCAGGTACTAGAGTTTCTGATGGAGCCGGACACAAAAGAGAAATATCTTGTTGAATTGGCGCAGTTAAAGTGGACGATTGGCATGCATCAATGTGCCGGTGAAATAGTAAGAGAGATTGATCGGAGTTTGAGAAAATGGATCTCAAAGGCCGAAGAGTAGGAGAGTCCCGGGTTGGCAAGACTTGTAGCGTGGTTCGGTAGTATAGACTGGTATTAATGAAGAAATGAATCCCATTGTTCAACACGCTTGAGCACCGCTTCTTGTTACTTGATTCCGAGCCCTTGTTGGCCAAGCCTGCGATAGAGGCCCGGGTAGCGTGTACCAAGACAAGGTGCTTAGAATTACTGAGGATTGGCAATACAAGGGCATAGATGATTCTACTATGTAATGGCTACACAAGCTAGTATGGAGTACTTTTCTATTGTAATATCTCCATGTCGTTTTACTGGACTGTTTCCCACACTTACATGACTTCAAGCAAAGCACATCAAGGTGGCAGGCAGTCTCTAGGCTTGACGCTCCAGCCACCGCCCCGCGCTGACCTCTCCCCACCAGGTTCAACTTGTCATTCTACGTCGCACATCACGCTCCTCGCCCTCTAGGCATCCAAATTGGCCATTCGACTCGCCATCCTTAATCATTATCCGACGAAAAAAAAGGCTCCAAGAGCCCGAGCCCGGCTCCCCAACATCAACGCGGCCATGCGTGACGACCTCTAGCAGCGATCCAGGGCACACGAGATCAACCCCCCCGACAATTCGCCATGAGCGCCTCTGACAAACGCCGCGTACACGGCGTCACTGGAACCCACGTCCTGCGGACGGCCTCGTCCGCGCGGCATGCCTACCACAGCTCCAGCAGCTCTGCCGGGGCGGGCTCCCCCATCAGCGCCCACGCAGGCAGCGGCCCAGGCAGCAGCCACTTGCCCGCCGTGCCCCAGCGCGTGGCCGTGGTTAACGCCAGCGCCCTCAGCGACGACACTGACGACACCAACAAGGACAAGGACAAGGAAAAAGACATGAGTCCAGGGACGACGACGACGACGAGTGGCGCCAGCACACCCGTCACCCGCACCGCCTCATCGCGCACGGCTAAGGAAAAGCAGCGGGAGCGGGACCGCGAGCGCGAGTCGGCGAGCCTCGCGGCGCAGGTCCGCCAAAAGGACGAGCGTATCGCATACCTTGAGCGCGAAATGGACACGATGGAGCGCGAGTTCCAGCACCAGCTCGATAAGCTCAGCGCCAACGAGAGCGAGACGGCCACCTTTTGGCAGGCTAAGCACAGCGCACTGAACCAGCAGTACTTACGGACCGACACGGAGCTGCGGCTGCTGCGGGCCGAAGTCGACGTCCGCGAGGCCGAGCGCGCCGAGCTGCGCCAGGGCTGGGAGGTGCTCCGACGAGAGCTCATGGAGCGAGATGAAGAGATGCGCGGGTTGCGGGGGCAGGTGAGGGGCCTTAAAGAGTTTGTGAGCACGAGTACGCGCGCCGACGGGCAGACGAGCGACGAGGTCTTTGGCGACGGCATGGCGCGGCTGGGGAACGGGCTGCAGAACTGGGTGATTTCGCATTTCCGAAAAGCGAGGCTAGGTTCGTTCGTGCGAGTGGTTGGGGATTTGACAGTGATGCTAATCATGCTGCAGATTTGCCAAGTTTAGATGAGGAGACTACGGCGGAAATCAGTGAGCTGGTGCCCATGTACGAAGAGCTGGCCAAGACGGCCAAGGTGCATCTTTTGCAGTCGATTGTGTCGCGCATCTTTGTCGACATGATTTTTGATTCGTACTTTGTCGGCCTCTCCGACAGCCAGACTCGGCTTTTCCGGCAGATGGAAGAGGTACTCGCCTCGCTTTGCGGGCCAACGCAGCACGAGCCCGTGAACCAGTGGCGCGCCGCCACGCTCACGCTCCTGCGGCGGGAAGCGGCGCCTCAAGCGCACCTTCAAGACGACACGGCCGTCTTTGCCGAGCACGTCGTCTCCCGTACCAACCACGTGCTCGACCGGCTGACGGGCAGCGAGGGCAGCAGCGCCCGGGACGCGGCGCTGCGGGTGCTCGTCAACAACGCTGTGGAGCTTGCGCGGCTCCTGGTGGTGCAAAAGGCGGTGCTGCGCGTGTACATGCCGAAGGTGCAGCCACACCAGCGTGTGCTGTTTGACCCGAGCACGATGGAGGACGTGGGCGGCCTCGAGGACGACGACGAGGACGGTCTGGGGCCAACGCGCGAGGTGGCATGTGTAGTGTTTCCGGGTGTGGTGAAGCATGGGGACGAGCACGGCACGCAGCTGCAGTACCGCAACATGATTTGCAAGGCCAAGGTGGTGTGCAGGCAGGAGTAAATAGTACGGTGCTGGTTGTGCCCAAGATCACGTTGTGCTTTATTACGATGTTATGAAGCTATAGAAGAGACGGCCCACACCGATGGACAACCTGACGGGGAAACAGTTGGTAGGCCAAAAGTTTTTACAAGTAGAAGCTAGGAATCGGTAACAAGAAGCCGGTGCAGGTGATGCAAGAGTATGCCTGCGTAGCCGGTTGTATTGCATGGTTGGTAGCATTAGGAATTCATACATACGCTTGATGTTGTCAAGCAGTGAAAGCATGTCGATCGAGCCTGCAAAAGAGCTCCCGTCACTTATTGAATAGGGTTTATTTCTTGTCATGCTCATAAAACAACAACGCGTACTATGCTCTCTGTTATGCTACACCGCCCGTACCGAATCATTTTATCGCTGGTGGTTCTAGCGACGATGGCAGATGTATCATGGTGCAGAGACAGCTTGGTTACATGGTTATCGGGCGTGTTGGCTAATGTAGAGCAGGACGAGGGGTGCGGCGCATCCCCCCCTCTCATTCACATGGGAATTGCAGAAAGAGTACGTTGTATTTTGTCGCAAATTGATGCTTGCACGCTACCTGAGGCGAAAATTGATGCTATTTGTAGATGGGGCTGTCAGACATGGCTTCTGCGCGGCTGCGGTGAGTCTGAAGGGGACCGCAGGGCGTACGGAGTAGTTAGTCCAAAGGGGGACTGGTCCTTTCAATCTATTGTTTGTCGAGGCCCGGATTTCTATTTGAGATGGTGCTAGTGAGAGAGTAGTAGTGGAAGGCTGTTTGCGTGAAGCGCTAGTGAGATGTCTCGGGGAAGACTGGAATGCAGGCGGGGTTATGGAATAGAAGGAGGGGGAAGTACACAAGTGGGGGAAATTGCTTCTTATGTTTCTTATTCTTGTCTGTTCATCGCCAAAGAAAGCGAACAAGAGGAGGGAGTTTAATATGCGGCGGCAGATGGATGGGGTTCGATTACCTGGTGTCGTGCAGGATCGTGGTGGCGTCTGTCTGTACCAAGTGACACTCTGATACGCCCTGCCCTGCCTGGCCCAGCTTGGCACACAGGACATGCGGTAGTGACACCGAGTCAGCGAACACTCGGCCGTGTTCCCATGCGGGCGCGGCACGCTTCTATCTCGTCGGGGCCAGGCGGCCTTGTGCCGACGCGGGTGGTGGTGGTTGCCAAGTCAGATGTCTGTGGCAGGCGGGCGTGTGGCACGACCACGTTGTGTCTCTGTCAAACCAACAGAAGAAGTCTCTTCCAGTGGAACATGTTGACCTGTCACGTTTCTCGGGCCAGCCAAGGGCCAAGACAATTATGTGAGACGGCGGGACCCTGGACCCTAGGCACACCGTTGGTAAAAAAAGGACGGCTGCCAAGAAAGCAGGAGAGGTAGGTAAGCAAGGCGATTGATGAGAGGGGGACATGTAAGTGTAAAAAGGGTCATCAATGGCGGGCGTTGTGAAAATGCCGTAACGCGTGTGATGGGATGCAAGACAGGGCTGGACAAGCCACGCGGCGAGGTTCGCTCACATGTACGGTGTATTCATTCACCTGTATGTACATGGACCGGCCGATAGCCACGCAAGTTACAAGTTACGGAAGCCTACCAATTACTACCTAGGTAGATAGTTTAGTAGGCGCCTACTAGTTTAGTAAGTAATGCACATGCAGGCATAGCGTAGCGAGTTGTCTCGGCTGGGAGCGGCGGCGCCGAGATAGGGTGCTGCAGCTGAATGCCTAGCAGGTACCTAGCGGCAGGAGTAGGCAGGCAATGTACGTCGGTACTTACCTAGTCTCGGAAGAAATGCTGTTGATTTTTTTTCTCGCCAATTCCTGCTGCGGGTTCGCCCAATGCGGGTTGCATAATGGGCACATTATTGCATGAGGTGGCCTGGGGCCGTATCAGATGAGCACCACTTGCAGCGCCTTCGTGGTTCCAAGTCAAATGACGAGGCCCGACGCCACCGCCAAAACGGACAGCCCGTCCACCCATGGAGCAAAGTTGTTGGACAAGTTTGGCTTTTTTTTCTTTCTAGCGCTAGTCATGCCCGCTGAACGGCTGAACCCGGTCCACTCGCCACCTTTGTGGTGCAAAGGTCGTCTGCTGGATCTGCTGCTAGCCGCTGTACCCTCTAGTATTGCAGGTGCCTGCTCTAACTATCACAGGTAGGTACCTGCACCTGCTGCATCCGGGCAGTCGCGCGCAGGAAGCACCAACCACCACCCATTGGAGCCCTTGGGGAGGTCACTTTTAATAGTTCCAGCACTTGAGTAGCGCTCGCAGCCTAGCACATTACCAGCATCCCATGGAACTAAACACCCTCTGACCTGTCCCTCTGAACGCCCTCTTACACCCCCTTTGTCCTCACCGGCTCCTTTGTCCCTTGCGCTGAACCTACCTTCGATCCCGTTTCCCTTCAACTGCATCACTGCTTTTGCCCTTTCAACCAACAACAGCATATCAATAACTATCATCTTGTCTCCCTCTTCTCCCTTGCGCTTCATGTCCATTGATTCCCCTCTCCCATTTGCTCCTTTTCTCGACCCGCCGCCTGCCTGGCAAGCAGTCTCGTCGCTCCCAAGCTAAACCTGCGACTACCAACCGAACGAGCGGCGACCGACCACTGGCTTGGCCAAATCCACTGTCCACCTAACCGAACCTCGGACGGCCAGACCAGATCGAACTCTCCTTCCACCTCTCCCAACTCGCTTCAACCCGCATCTTGGCCTGCGTTGGTTGTAGTTACGTCTCATTGCGCCCGACAGAACCGCCCGCCGTCTCCTCTGCACTGCATTGTTTATTGTTTTGATTGTCGCCGCCCGCATCCCGCCGCCCATCATGTTCACCCAGCCTGTGCAGCCGCCCGCTGCCGCGCCCCAGCCGTCCAACACAGTGTCACCCTCACGCACCTCCCGCCTCCGAAGCCTGACCTACCTGCGCAACTACACCCACAACCACATCCTCTCGCGCGACCCCTCCTCGACCGCCAGTGCCTCCCCCGCCGCTGCCAACAGCAACAGCAACACAAGCACCACGACCGCCACCGCCGCTGCCACCGCCTCGAGGCAGTCTGCCGGCCTCATTCGATCAGCCTCGTACACCCCCGGCGCCTTGACGAACCCACAGCCCGCCTCAGCCACCACGAATCGCCTGTCCCTCATCAGTTCGACCCCCGATAGCAGACCAGAACGTCAAAACCCTCCCGCTGGTCCCATGCCCGAGTCGGCGACACAATCCCAGTTTCTTCAACACGAATTCGACCCTGCTGCGACGGCCTCGGACAGTGACGATCCTACTACTGCTGCTGCTGCCATGCGAACACCTGTTGCCGACGGCCCCTCCTCAGCCGCCGGCCCCAGCTCGGCACCCGACGCCGCGCCTTCGATCCGCCTCTCCTCGTACTTTGACCAGCGCGCATCACGGCCCTCGCTCACCTTCTCCCCCATCACCCGCACCCTGCCCACCGGCACCGAGGTCATCCGCGTCGGCCGCTATTCCGAACGCGACGCTCAACCTCTTGCCAGCGTCACTGGCAACCAGCCCTCGGCCGCCAATGTTGGCTTCAAGAGCAAGGTTGTCAGCCGCCGCCACTGCGAGTTTTGGCATGAAAACGGCAAGTGGTACATCAAGGATGTCAAGAGTTCATCTGGCACCTTTCTGAACCACATCCGCCTCAGTCCTCCATCACAGGAGAGCAAGGCCTTTGCCGTCAACGACGGCGACATTGTTCAGCTCGGTATCGATTTCAAAGGCGGCGAGGAAATGATTTTCCGCTGTGTCAAGATGAGGCTCGAGCTCAACCGTGGCTGGCAGAACAAGCCCAATTCCTTCAAGTATGTGCTTCCTTTGTCCATGGCCCTGACTTCTCTAACACCTTGTAGTGTTGCTGCTCACAAGCGCCTGCGTACCATGGCCTCGGCCAACGCACCTCCTGGTACAGCCGCCAGTAATTCATCCCAAGACTGTTCCATCTGCCTAAACTCCATCGCTGTACGTTTCATACCCGATTGCTCCCATGACTGCCTAAATGGCTGCTAATCTGACCCAGCCTTGCCAATCACTCTTTGTAGCTCCATGCTCACATACGTGGCACTTCAAATGCGTCAAGTCGCTCCTCACGTCGCCTCAGTACCCCGTCTTCATCTGCCCCAACTGCCGTGCCGGTGCCGACCTCGAGGCCGATGTCGAGGAACCCGAGGACGAGTGGGAACTGTTCGACGAGCAGGAAAAGGACGACAAGCTCGACGCCATCGCCGAGACTTCGCCCTCACCCACCCCAGCCACCCCGGCCGAGCATGAGGTTTCCGACTCTGACCGCATGGACATAACAATAAGCGAGCCCACCGATGCGCCCGAGCCGTCCAATCCCGCCACGCACGCAATATCCTCACCATTGCCCATTCGAAGCGCGTACGGTGCTCGCCGCGGCACGCCATCGCCACCCCGTGCCGGCGCCGAAGGCCCCATCACCCCGCGAAATGACATTGGGCCCTGGGTTCTCGACGGTCGCGCTGGGCGTGACGCGCCGCATGGCGTGCAAATGACAAGCCTCGACGCCGCAGCCACAGAAATGGACCTTACTATCCACGCACCCAACGATTCTGCACATTAGATATATACCCAAGGGTTTCATCCCCCCACTCATTACCGCACAGCGACGGCCACGAGTGGCCTTGCTTATGACCTCATAGATTGCCTCTTTACCATGTCTCTTTTATTGTTTCTCATTGCTCATTTTCTACACATCACTACCTCTTGGGAACCTGGAAGGACTGTTTACTGTCATTTTTTTGTGGTGTTGCCAAAATTCTCGGCGTTGATTCTTTTTGGGAGCATCTGTGCATTTCTGGAGGCATTTCTTTCACCAACTTTGTACATGACACGGAGCCAGCGAGGTGTTGTAGTGGCAGTGTAATTCCAAGCATTTGCCGGCGGGTTGGCGGCAGTGCAGCAGTCGCCCGGTAGTGGGGCTGCTCCTAATATATGAATGAAGAACTTATTCCGCCAGTTGTAATACTGTGATGATTCGAACATGTTTACATTGACTATACATTATTTTTTTGATGAGCTTTTTCGTCACGAGTTTGATTGGTAATTGGCTGCAATTTACAGACTCATTTCTAGAGCCCCATTTTGCAACAAGACCCTTTCCCCACGGTGACGTCTCCGGACCGGAGCAGCCGCCAATTGATCCGATATATCGCCGAGCCCCCAGACGAACCAAATTTCCAGAACCACACCACATAATCAGCCAACCCCATGCACGCTGTAATAGTCACAACCATCGCCCTCGCACAACGGACCACGCTACATCTCGTCGCGCATCATCACACACGACCATGTTGCGACAACTAGCAGCGCGGCTGCCCCTCGGCCGTCGGGCCTCTGCCATCCCCAGCAGAAGCAGCACCATTCTGCGCTGGGCTACCCCCGCCGGCCTCAACCTCCCCCAACGCTCCATGGCGACCATTGCCGTTGAGGGCATCCCCCAAGTCCGTAACCCTTCCTGCCTCCGAATCTTCCACCCCCGTCCCCGCCACTAATCACCACTTTCACACATACAGGAACCCACCGACCTCGACCGTATCACCACGCTCCCCAACGGCCTGCGCGTCGCCTCCGAAGCGCTCCCCGGCTCCTTTGCCGGCGTCGGCGTCTACGTCGAGGGCGGCTCGCGCTTCGAGGACGCCTCGCTCCGGGGCGTCTCGCACATCATGGACCGTCTCGCCTTCAAGTCCACCGCCGGGCGCTCCGCCGACGCCATGCTGGAGCGCGTCGAGGCGCTCGGCGGCAACTTCCAGTGCGCGTCGTCGCGCGAGAGCATGATGTACCAGGCGGCCACGTTCAACGCCGCCGTGCCGCAGGCGGTCGAGCTGCTGGCCGAGACGATCCGCGCGCCCTCCCTCACGCCGGGCGAGGTCGCCGAGCAGATCGAGACGGCCCGCTACGAGATTGCCGAGATTTGGGCCAAGCCCGAGCTCATCCTGCCCGAGCTCGTCCACACGGCCGCGTACAGGGACAACACGCTCGGCAACCCCCTGCTGTGCCCCGAAGAGCGGCTCGCCGAGATTAGCCAGGACACGGTGCTGCGCTATCGGGAGCGCTTCTACAGGCCGGAGCGCATGGTGCTGGCGTTTGCCGGCGTCGAGCACAATGTCGCCGTCGACCTCGCCAAGCAGTTTTTCGGCGACATGTCGAGCGCCTCCGTCTCCTCCCGGCGCGGCTCCGAGTCCAGCATCGCCACATCAACATCCACCTCTTCCTCCTCCGCCAGCAGCAGCGCCGCCGCGTCCTTTTCCACATCCGCCTCGCGCGCCCACGCCACGCCCACCACATCCGCCCTCAGCCTCCCTGCCTACCCGCCCGCGCAGTACACGGGCGGTTTCCTCACCCTCCCCGCGCAGCCGCCGTCGCTGCACAAGACCAACTTCACGCACGTGCACCTCGCGTTTGAGGGCCTCCCCGTCGCGTCCGACGACATTTACGCGCTCGCCACGCTCCAGACGCTGCTCGGCGGCGGCGGGTCCTTCTCCGCCGGCGGGCCCGGCAAGGGCATGTACTCGCGGCTGTACACCAACGTGCTCAACCAGCACGGCTGGGTCGAGTCGTGCGTCGCCTTCAACCACTCCTACACCGACTCGGGCCTGTTTGGCATCTCGGCGTCGTGCCTCCCCGGACACACGTCGGCCATGCTCGACGTCCTGTGCCAGGAGCTGCGCGCGCTCACGCTCGAGGCCGGCTTCTCGCGCCTCGGCGCCGTCGAGGTCGCCCGCGCCAAGAACCAGCTGCGCTCCAGCCTCCTCATGAACCTCGAGAGCCGCATGGTCGAGCTCGAGGACCTCGGCCGCAGCGTCCAGGTCCACGGGAAGAAGGTGCCCGTCCGCGAAATGTGCGCCAAGATTGAGGCCCTCACCGTCCAGGACCTGCGCAGGGTCGCCCGCATGGTGCTCGGCGGCCACGTCGCCAGCGCCGGCGGCGGCAGCGGCGCTCCCACCGTCGTGCTGCAGGAGGCCCAGGCCTACGGGCTCACCAGCCACACCATGACCTGGGACCAGATCCAGGACCGCATCGACGGGTGGAAGCTCGGCCGCAAGCAGTGAAAAGCCTGGCGGCAACCGGGGAGAGACTTTTTTGTGTATGATAGAAAGCAAAAGGGGGGGGGTGCTGTGCGCATCGTGTACGATTAAAAATGGGCATAGAGCAAAGGAAACACACATGTATATGAATCTAGAGTAATATTTGCAATCAACTCTTATTAGGAATGTAAACCTGACAAACAAGAACAAAAGCGAATGAGTGCATTGTCTCAACCCATATTCAGGAAAACTCCGTCTGACGCTAAAAACAACCATCGAAAGACGCACCTATACTGCGTATACTGTGATATCATCCTGTTTCTTTTCCATCTATCCCTGTCATGCCGTGACTCGCCCATCCATTGCGTATATATGTATCCTTTACAACCTTGATCGCACAGCCTCCAGTCTATACTTGACATCCTTCAACGCCTTGTTGCTCGGTTTCCAGTCGTCAAACTGCCGCAGTAGCTCCTCCGTTTCGGCACTCAACTCCGTCTTGACATAGTCTTCCTCGAGCAGCCCGCGCATGATCCACGGCAGCACATACGGGTTCGCCGACGCCAGCGCCGGGGCCGCACCGGTGGGCGTGGCTGTCGGCACGGTGCGGTGCGCGACGTGGCACGGCGTCGGCTGCGCGACCGAGGTCGTCTCCAGGGCGTGCGTAACAGCCAGGTCGTAGACAGCGTCATCGTAATAGAGCCGCGAGTGGCCCTGGCCCGAGTAGAGCGAGCCAGCGAGCGCCACAGACAGCTCCCGCACTAACCCGTGATCGGTAACGCCCAGGTTGCGCAGCTTGAGCGCGAAGCCGACCAGATGCGCGATGAAGTCGGGCGCATGGATGCGCCCGTCGATGAAGACGGCGCGGTATATGTACGGATGGGAGGCGGGAGAGTACACGGCAGACTGGCTGGTTAGCGGAGTCTTTATTGGAACAACGACAGACGGCAAAACTTACCTCCATGGGGACCACTTGGTCATCGATGCTCCCGATGAATGTCACTCGAGCGCCATAATCCAGCACCCGCTTCAGTGCGGTTTCGAACCGCTGCGAGTTGGTACTCTTGGGGTTGCCAAAGTCCCACAGCTCCGCTGCCGAGCCCATTAGAAAGCTCGCCTTGTAGTCGGGGAATGGCCCGAGTGCGACGCCGGCCATGGCGCAGACGCCAATCTTGGCGTGGGTAATGATGCCCAAGTCGATGAGCTTATCCAGGAGTATCAGGCCGACAGGCACGCCCTGTGAATGGGAGGCCATGATGATGAGGTCTGCCTTGCGGATCTGATCGATCCAGTTGAGCAGGAGCTTCCACAGGTTCTCGACGCGGTCACCGATGCGGCCCTCGCCCTCGAGCGCGACCTTTTCAATCTCGCAGTCCGAGCAGCCGTGCGCGTCGGCCCAGCGCTGGATGCTGTCGGCGCACAGGCTTGCAAAACGCAGCGACGTGCCGGTCGGTTGCCCCATCATGGGCCGGAGGTAGGTGGCAGGGAAGAGGCCATGGACGCCGATGGCCAGCGCACGCTTGATCTTGGGTGTTTCCTGCACGCGAAAGACGTGGTTGGGCTGGGGTTGCGACGTTCGTAATAGTAAATTTGTGATTTGCTGCATAACAGAGGGGTTGTCTCTCATGCGATACGTGCTTGTAAAGGATGGCAGCAAGAGGTTTGGCGATTGCTTGACCGAGGTTTCGCTTTCCGCCGTCGACGTGGAGGCTATCTCTGTCTTGGTGGCAGACTTACGGCTCTCCGCGTCAGATTGGTCGACTTTGCCAGCGCTCGGTTCCGGAAGATGGACTTGACTGCCAGCGGGCGACGCTGATGCCGACTCGTCTAGAGAAGCTGGCCTCGGACGCTTACTCTTCCGCCAGGTCGACTTTGAGTCCTTGGCCTTGCCCTTGTCTTTATTCTCAGGCTCCGCCGAAACGCTATTCTCCGTTATGGGAAGCGGATGGGCCTCTGATCCTTGCCCGATTACTGCAATCTCGCCGGATTCTTGGGTTATGGTTTTGTCATTTTGACTTGGGGTAGCTTTTGACCAGAACGCCCATGTTGAGCCGGCTTTAGGTGGTGGCTCTTGTGTTTGCTCTGCAGGTGCTAGTGTAGGCACGTCCTCCATGACCACATCAGTGTCAGTATTTTGGCCATCATTAGTCGTCTGCTTCTCCGATTCGGATGCCATGGCTTGTGGCGTCGGAGTTGTCCACAGTCCAAACCACGATGTAGGCGGTTGCCGAGGTTCCGACTGGGCAGTCGGCGGGGCGATGATGATTTGTTCAGGCGGCGTGGTAGGCCGGGGGGGTTCCGGCTGCTCTTCCAGTATGGCTTCTACTGGATTCGCGGGAGTCCTTGTAAGCCAACCTAGCCAGCCGGGTTGTGGTTGTGCAGGCGTCGTTGGTGGGATGTCTTGGGGAGGGCTTGCCGTCTCAGCTTGGGTCGCAGTGGTGCTCGCAGCGGTGCTTGCAGCGGTGAGTTCTGGTGTGTGTTTATTGTCGTCGGGCTTGGTGGGTGTTGCATTTATATTATTTGATGTATTCGGTGCTATTTCTTGTGCGAGCTCATTCTTTGGTGCTTTCGAGTCGGGCTGGGACATGGAAACTGTTGCCTGGTCCGAGGCAACGGCGGATTCGCTTAGCTTGCTGCGGATGCTAGCCGTGTCTTCGATGCTCTTCGATTCGAAGCGTGCCAGGTCGGTGTTTCTGGAGCGGAATGTGTCTCCGTGGATGTTTTCCCTCGCCACCGAGATGGATGCTGTTGCTCTGGGCGGCCGTGGCCAGGAACCGTACCAGCTCTGGGCTTTGCGTACCTAGGTGGTGTCAGACGGGCTAGGGCGGTTCTAAGGCTAGTGTTGAAGAGAACGTACTGTTTTTTGAGGCGAGAGAAGAGAGGCGCCCTCGTGCGCGTCGTTGTTCGCCGGGAGATGTCGGGGCATGGGTCGGCTGGAGTGTGATGCATCTTCCGAGGCGGCTGCGCGAGCGGGCCGTGAGAGACCATCTTGTGATTGCGTGGCCGAGGGCAGCTTTGCCGTGACGTCGTTGGGGTTTGGACGGTGCCGTTTTCGCGGTGCCATGCTGACGGCTACGGCATGGCCTGCGGGATGAGATAATGGTCCAATACGATGTTATCTGCGATCAAAATAGGGTCAAAAGTTGGCCGAGATGCCGCGTATGGTGCAGAAGCTGTATTGTTGAGAAGCGTGGCGATTGGCATGCAAGCTTATTGTCGCCCCGTTCCTGGCTCAGGTACTCGAGGTGCTGTAGATGCGCTGGAAATGAGTTCCCGTGCCCCGCCAAGGGATCAGCAAGGCTGCAGCACCACGCTAACGTTGGTGAATGCCAGGCTGCCAGCAGCGCGATAGAATAACTGATCTCGTAACTACCTATATCTCCGTATTATTATCGTTAGTATTGTTCTATTATAATTATGTTCTTTATTATTTCTACCTCTGTAACTATTCTACCCCCTTTTCTTTGTCTATAAGTCGCTAACTACCTAGGTGACAGCCCACACACTGCAAAGAGCGGTCGTCAAGCCCACATATCAACATGCCACCGATGTCACAGTTCATACATTTTGAATCGCCGAATCCATCCTTAGGCCGTTCAAGACATTCACTAAACGTGGATCCCCGTCCATCTTTCCCCTACTACCTCCGGCAACGCCAGCACTCGAACACTTGACCACGATCGGCGGCTGTTAGTGCTGTGGCATGCACCAACGAACAGCAGAACTCGCCGTAAAGTGTTTTGCAGTCCCGTGTATCTTGATTATCCGGGGAAACAAAGCAGGCGACCAAACACTGCCGATGCCAGGCTGGAAGGATTGGGCAATGGCGGCGTCGGGAATTTGGCCATCTCAACACTCATCACACACGGGAGCAGAAAAGAAAAGTGAAGCAGGAACTATCAAGTCTTTGATTGAGTAATAATAAAATAATAATTTGTATTAGTAGATAACTAGGTACATAGTTACCCAAGGACTTGGATCAAGCGGATCAACCTCGGATCAACCACTGCTCTTATCGCTCGGCGGTCTGGCTTATCGCACCCGCAGAAAAAAAAATTCGAGGGACGCTGGTAGCTGGTAGCGCAAAGTTCATGGTCCAGGCTGACCTGCAAATGCGCAAAGACAAGTCTGTCTTCGCTTTTGTACACATCCGCCGCCATGAGCAATCTTAAGCGAAAGGATGCCCCTGGCGGTCATCCTCCTGCTAAATCCGCCAAGCAGTCCAAAGAGGCGAACCCATCCAAGACCGACACGCCCAAGCCCACCGACGCCCCGAAAAACGCCGTCGTTTCCCGCCTCAAAGACGAGGAGCCTCTCTTTCCCCGAGGCGGCGCCAGCGTTCTCACACCTCTCGAACAGAAGCAGATCCAATTGGAGGCCAAGGCTGACGCTGCGCACGATGACGAATTTTCCACCGGTGGAAAACCCCAGAAGAAACAGAAGCGAGTCGGCGCCTCCAAAAAATCGGACAAGAAAACCGAGACCAAGTCCGACGACGACTCTGTAAAGATTGAGAGTCTCAACTTCAAGGTACTTCCCACAGTTGTGCTGCCGTACAACTACCCCCACTAACTCGCGCAGAAATTGGTCAAGGGCTCCATCGTTCTCGGTCAAATCACACGCATCAACAACCTCGCTCTCGAAGTCGCTCTGCCCAATAACCTGACCGGCCACGTCTCCATTGTGGCCATATCTGAACAGCTTACGAATCGACTGCAAAGCGGCGCCAAAGATGAGGATGTCGACGAAAAGGAAGACGAATCCGACGGCGAAGGCGAGGACGTTGACCTAAAGTCCATTTTCGAGGTTGGCCAATTCCTTCGCGCCTATGTTCTCTCTACAGTGGACGGCGCTGTTTCCGGCAAAAGCAAGCGCAAGATTGAGCTCTCTCTGCGACCTACCGAAGCCAATACAGGCCTCACGAAAGACGATGCCGTACCCCATTGCACGGTCGCCGCCGCTGTCGCCAGTGTCGAGGACCACGGATGCATCATGGATCTTGGAATTGACGGCCTGAGCGGATTCCTCCCCAACGCCGAAATCGATGCCACTTTCAAACGCGAACGCCTGCAGGAAGGCGCCGTATTTCTCTCTCAAGTCACCGCCAACCAGGGCAGCGGGAAGGTCGCTCAGCTCACCCTCAAGCAGGACAAAATCGGCAAAGTCAGCAACCACCCGGCCGAGGCGACAACCATCAACACATTCCTCCCTGGTACCGCCGTCAACGTTCTCATTACCGGAAACAGCAGCAGTGGTGTGACTGGAAAAATCATGGGACACGTCGACGCAACAGCCGACCTCATCCACTCCGGTATCGGGCCCTTTGGTACCGATGTCGAATCGAAATACAAAATTGGCTCCAAGGTCAAGGCCAGAATCATCTGCAACTTTCCTACATCAAAAGACCCCAAGCTGGGCATCACACTGCTTCCGCACTTGATGGCTCTTACCAAGAAGCGCCCCGAGGGCCCGAAGCGCTCCAGTCTTCCCCTACAAGTCATCCCTATTGCTTCGATTGTCGAGCAGTGCACTGTCCGTCATGTGGAAGCCGACATGGGCTTGTTTGTTGACGTAGGCGTTCCTGGCTTGTGTGGTTTCGTTCATATCTCCCGTGTCAAGGACGGCAAGGTCGATGCCCTCTACGAATCCAGTGGCCCTTACAAGGCTGGCTCAACACACAAGGGTCGCGTTGTTGGCTACAGTGAAATCGACGGCGTCTTTCAGCTTTCATTCCAAAAAACTGTCCTCGAGCAAAAGTATATCCGCCAAGAAGATGTGCCTGTTGGAGCCGTCTTGACATGCGACATTGAAAAGCTTATTATCAACGAAGACGGTGTCAATGGTCTTACTCTCCAGATTGCCGAAGGAATCACTGGATTTGTGCCTGAACGCCACCTCTCCGACGTCAAGCTGCAACATCCCGAGAAGAAATTTCGCCAGGGCATGAAGATCAAGGCTCGCGTACTGAGTAATGACCTGATCAAGAAGAGAATCAGACTTACGCTCAAGAAGACTCTTGTAAACTCTGAAACCCCTATTATTCGAAGCTACGACGATGTCAAGGTCGGTAGCCAGGCTCTCGGCACAATCATTAAGCTTGAGAGCAGTGGTGCCCGAATCCAGTTCTACGATGAGCTACGCGGATTCCTGCCCATTTCCGAAATGAGCGAGGCCTACATTCGTGACCCCTCAGAACACTTCCGCGTTGGCCAAGTTGTCAGCGTTCATGTGCTCGACGTTGATCCTGAGCGAAGGCGCCTGGTTGTCTCTTGCAAGGATCCTGGCGCGTTCGGCCTAGAGAAACAGAACGCGCTAAAGAACATTTCACTTGGAGACATTGTTTCTGCCAAGGTTACGCAAAAGTCGGAAGATCAAGTATTTGTCGAGCTCGAGGGCAGCCTCCTCAAGGCCATCCTCCCGGTCAGCCATCTCACCGACAAATCTGCGTCCAAGAATCAATTTGCGCTCAAGAGGGTTTCTGCTGGTCAGACTCTGTCAAATCTCGTTGTTATTGATAAGAACGACAGCCGCCGCTCAATTACCCTAACGCAAAAGCCCAGCCTAGTCCATGCTGCCGCGGAAGGAAGGCTACTCAAGTCTTTTGAGCAGGCCAGGCCGGGCAAACTTTTTGCTGGCTTTGTCAAAAATATCACAGCTACTGCGGTGTTTGTTCAATTTGCAGGGTCACTCAACGCACTGCTTCCCAAGGCACGTCTTGCCCCCGAGGCTCAAGCCAAACCCGATTTTGGTCTGCACAAGAACGACTCTATCGAAGTCCGCATTGTATCGACCATTCCCGATCTCAACCGCATCATGGTCGCCCCAGCCTCCGCGCCTGCTGATCAGGATATCGCTGGCAAGAGCGAATCTGCAAAGGCTGCTCCCGCTGATGGTCTTGCCTTTGGCTCCATCACCCAAGCCAAGGTTACCTCGATCAAGGAAACACAGCTGAACGTCCAGATTGTCGATTCTGGTGTGCAGGGCCGAATCGATGTTGCCAACGTGTTTGGCAGCTGGGACGACATTCCAGACCCGAAGCACCCCCTCGCCACGTTCCACAAAGGCCAAGTGTTGCGCGTCAAGGTTGTGGGCGTACACGATGCTAAGGACCACCGCTTCCTGCCCATTTCCCACAGATCTGCCCATTCCATCTTGGAGCTCACCACGCGCCAAACTGACCTGGATGACACCACGCCCAATGAGCTCACCTTTGAATCCCTCAAGGTTGGACAGACCCACGTCGCCTTTGTGAACAACTTGACGCAACAATATCTCTGGGTCAACTTGTCGCCCTCTGTCCGTGGCCGCATCTCTGCCATGGAAGCTTCCGATGATTTGTCTCAACTGAACGACTTGGAGGGCAACTTCCCCCCTGGCTCTGCTCTCAAGGTCCGCGTCGTATCGATCAATGCCGAAAATAACCATCTTGATCTCTCTGCGCGCTCTGCATCCTCCAATGATATCGTAAGCTGGGATTCTATCAAAGCCAATATGATTCTTCCCGGAAAGATTACCAAGGTCAATGAGCGGCAGATTCTTGTCAAGCTCAGCGAATCAGTTTCTGGGCCCGTCCACCTGCCCGACATGGCCGACAACTTTGACGGGGTCAACACTACCCAGTACCGCAAAGGTGAGATTGTCCGCGTCGCAGTAGTTGACGTGGACAAGAGCAACAAGCGACTCCGCCTTTCCACGCGTCCGTCCCGTATCATGAGCTCTACTCTGCCCGTCAAGGACAAGGAGATTAGCGATATTGCGCAACTCTCTTCTGGTGACATTGTTCGAGGATTCGTCAAGAATGTAGCCGACAAGGGTCTCTTCGTTCTGCTGGGCGGACAGGTTTCTGCCCTGGTCAAGATCTCTAACCTGTCGGACCGCTACTTGAAGGAGTGGAAAGATGAGTTTCAGGTTGACCAAATGGTCAAGGGTCGCATTATTTTTATTGATAATGCCGCTAAGCAGATAGAAATGAGCCTCAAGTCCTCCGTCGTCGACGAAGACTACACACCGCCCATGACGTACAGGGATATCTCGGTTGGCCAGATTGTTACCGGCAAGGTGCGCAAGGTAGCGGATTTTGGTGCTTTCATCCTGATCGACAACTCGGCCAACGTCAGTGGCCTGTGCCATCGCAGCCAAATGGCCGAGAACCGCGTGCAGGATGCTACCAAACTCTACAAGGAGGGCGATGTCGTCAAGGCCAAGGTCCTAGAGGTGGATGTCGAGAAGCGCAAAATCAGCTTTGGCTTGAAGCCTACGCTGTTTGAGGACGAGGACACAGATATGGACTCGGACTCTGAGCAAGGTGCTCCTCTTGTTGATGAAGACGATGTTGATGATGAAACTGAGGGCGCACTTCTCAAACTCATTCAAGCTCAAGTCAACGACGACGATGACGAAGTCGAAGATGACGATGACGAAGATGAAGATGACGAGGAGGACGAGGGTGAGGATGATGAAGTTGATGGTGATGGAGACTCGGAGATGGAGGATGCCCCTACAGGCGTGGGCTTGGGTGGTGGCAAGTCTGCGTGGACGGCGGATCCTTTTGCCGAATCAGGGTCGGAATCCGAGGGCGAAGCGCCGAGCAAGAAGATGGACAAGACCAAGAAGCGCAAGAAGAACGAGATTGAGGTGGACAAGACTGCCGAGCTCGACAGCAACGGCCCTCAGACGTCGAGCGACTACGAGCGTCTGCTCCTGGGCCAGCCCGACTCGTCGGAGCTTTGGATCGCCTATATGGCCTTCCAGATGCAGGTCAGCGAGCTGCCCAAGGCGCGCGAGGTGGCGGAGCGGGCAACACGCACCATCAACATGCGCGAAGAGACGGAGAAGCTCAACGTGTGGGTGGCGTATCTGAACCTGGAGGTGGCGTACGGCACCAAGGCTACCATCGAAGAGGTGTTTAGGCGGGCGTGCCAGTACAATGACCCGCAGGAGGTGCACGAGCGGCTGGCCAGCATCTACATCCAGTCGGAGAAGCTCAAGGAGGCCGAAGCGCTATTTGAAGCCATGGTGAAGAAGTTTGGGGCCAAGACACCGAATGTGTGGACCAACTATGCGCACTTTCTGCACGTCACGAAGGGTGAGCCGGCGCGGGCGCGGGCGCTGCTACCACGGGCATCGCAGCAACTCGGGAGTGCGCACGCGGCGACGATTGTGGCGCGGTTCGCGGCGCTCGAGTTCCATTCGGAGCACGGCGAGCCGGAGCGGGGGCGGACCATGTTTACGGGGCTGCTCGACACGTGGCCGAAAAAGGGCGACTTGTGGAACCAGCTGCTGGACCTCGAGATGGGTGTCGAGGGCGGCGACGTGACGGCGGTGCGGGACGTGTTTGAGCGGCGCACGCGGGTGCGGGGGCTCAAGCCGCAGCAGGCGGAGAAGTGGTTCCGGCGGTGGACAGCGTTTGAGGAGGGCGTGGATCCCAAGGGCAAGGACCGGGTGACGGCCAGGGCGCGCGAGTGGGCGGCGGCGTTCAAGGCCCGCAAGGAGGCGGACGCTGCGGCGGCGGCGGACGAGGACATGGAGGAGTAGGATGGCATTCACTGGTGTACATGATTGTTTCTTGCTGGTTTTACTTTTGTCTTTGTTTCATAGCAGTTCTTTATGGGTAGGAAAAGTATGTTGCTCGATGAGCTTGAATAGTACTACACGACTATCTATTGGTATTGGTGTCGGTATGTTGAAAGCGATGTTGCAGACTTGAAGATGGTGGGCGTAGGCTATTCCCAGCTATGCTTGGTATGATGCAACGATACATATTCCGCCTTGCACAACGGGCACAGAAAAATGACGGCTTCTTTGCCTTAGAAGAAAGATGACCGGGATCTACGACTGAACAAATGTACGTGAACAATGGACCCCCCCCCCTTGCCGTTCTGATGAATTACATTGTTCAGGGTACAGGGTAACCACGGCGTTGCCTAAACAAGCAATGCGGCTCAAGCGATACTGTGGGGCCGGTCGGGTCGTCGTCAAACCCTGCCATGCCGTCGGCGCAAAAGTGGTGATGGAAGCCGTCTGGCGCTAGATGTCATGACGCCTTGTATTGTCTCTTGCACAATGGCGAGCCCAGCGCAAGACGGAAATGTCAAATCTGGACAGGGGCACCTGAAATGGATGTTTATCGGGAACCGGGGTTTACGTTTACGGGCCATCGTGGGCTTACAAGCCCATGGAGAAGGATAGAGTTTGGGAGATGCGGCCATGGCTTGCTTGGCAGGTTAGATAGATGATTCTGTGCTGACCATGCTCGGTCCATTCAGTGGTGACTACTGGTATTATAGAGTCGTCTTGCGGGGCACCCGGGGTGTCTCGTTCAAAGCACGCGATCATGGGCTTCCGATCAGTTAGAGCCCATCCAGCATTGCGAGCACCAGTGTAGCAACCGCTCGCGACAACGACTTGTCGCGATTGACTGGTCAAGTTCTGTATATCATCTACTTGATTATGCAGTGTTGTCGGTGGTCTTGCGCTCCGCCACGCCTCGTCAGCTTCTACAACATGTCAATCTGAGACAAGGCCGCGGCAGGATCGGGCGACCGGCCCGTAGTGGACTTATCGGGAACTCGCTGGCTGGTTCGTGGGAAGTCGGGGACTCTCTCTTGCGGGTGGTGGCAATCTCGCTTGCAGGATACCAGTACGGTAGGGCCGGCAATCAGGGTAGAGTTGCCATAGCAGGGCAGGAGCACAATTCCCAACCCCAGGCTGAGCTCATTCAGACTGGCGATGGCGTTGCAAGACGTGTGGCGGGCCGTCGATCACGTATTATTATTTGTAGTCTCCAACGGGCTTTTTGCGTCTTCACAGGACGCGAGCACGTCACCGGCCGCAGGTCTAGCGCGGTGGATCGGACCCTCGCTTCCCGCTGGTGGCGCTCCGTGACTGGCTGGATGTAGACGGGGGCCTATTCTGGCGCGCGCTGAGTTCCCTACAACAACCGCCTGTGATGCCAATGGCACCAATGGCTTCCAGCGGGCGCGCCCACCTGTAGCGGCCTGTAACTCGAGTCAGTATCCGCTAGAGTCCACTGTCGCTCCCAGGGCTCCCAGGGCGTTGGACCCCCAGAATCACCACTTGCTTTGCAAACACGCCAATTGTCACACTTTGTCCGTTGATGCCGTCAGTCGCGCGGAAATGGCCTGGCCAACCCAGGCGGGCCGGAAAGCCGTTTTGCATCTCAAACCCAGACCATCTCTGATCCTTACATCTCGCATCTCGATACGTCTTTACTTGATCATTTTTTCGACGTTTCGTTGCCGCCTTCTTGTCGCTCATCATGGGCTGTCGAGTCTGTCGCGCGCGCAAGGTACGCCCCAAACCACCACACCCCAACTAAAATACTACACACACACACACACACAGCTAATCATTCGATCCCAACCCTTCAGGTCAAATGTGACGGCCGGCCCAACGGCTGCCGCAACTGTGAGCGTCTGCAGCTCGACTGCGTCGCCGACGACGGCACGCCCGCCTCGGCCGCCTCGTCCGCCGCCGCGGCCAGCACCGTCAAACGCTCCTCGTCGGCCTCGGCCGCCGCCCTCAAGAAGATCCGCACCTACCGCTCCTGCAACGCCTGCCGGCTGTCCAAGACCAAGTGCGACGGCGACCGCCCCAAGTGCGGCCGCTGCACCGTCAAAAAGGTCGACTGCGTCTACGATGGCGGTTCGGCCCCGCGCTGGACGCGCAACCTCGACCGTCCCGCGCTGGTGTCCGGTGCTGCCGAGGCGGCCGGCGACGGCGGTCTGCTGCCGACCGTCGAAAAGGAGCGTTCGGCGTTTCTCGCCGGCGAGAGGCGCTTGCCGCCCAGGCAGGACGACACACCTGCCAACTCGGACACAGGCGGCGAGGGATCGCAGAGCGGCCGTGAGGGAGTGTCGATCCCGGAGGGACAGTCTTGGTAAGTCCTTTGTGCGCATGACTTTGGAAAGCAAAAATCACTGACCTGGAAAACAGGCTCGTCTCGCCCAGTCTACCCAACGGACGCAATCTGCGCCGCGTTGTTGAGCAGTACTTTACAAATCTACATCCCCTGCGCTGCTTTGCCTTTGTCCACAAACCTACGTTTATGCGGCAGCTGGACAAGGGACTGACGACAGACGATGAGTCTGCCCTGCTGCACATTGTGTGCGCCCACGGCGCCAAGTACGAACCACGCGAATAGCCAAAGGACATGACAAGACACTAACCCCGGCCTTAGATTCTATGCTCTCAGCCTTGTCGGCAGCCGTTCCAGCAACACCGGCCTCATCACGGCAGCGGGAAGTCAGTGGGCCAAGCGCGCCGAGTATCTGCTCCTGGCCAACTTTGGCAAGATTTCCGTCCAGCGATTAATGGTACGCATGCAAAAGAAGCAGGCCCTAAACGTGAACCCTTGTAGCGCGGCTAACCTTCGTAGACTGCCATTCTATTACACGAATTCCACTTTCGTCACGGCGAGTACTCGCAGGCTCTGATGATGAGCGGCCTGGCCGTGCGCATGGCCCACGCTCTCAAAATCAACTCGGAGCACTCCCCCGACATCATGTGCTCCGACGTCGACGAGGCGGCGCCGTCGGTCGTCTCCCGCGAGAGCCGCCGCCGCCTGATGTGGGCGTGCTACATCCTCGACGCCTGGGCGGGCAGCGGCATCGACCAGCTAACGCTGCTGCGCGAAAACGACATCAAGATTCAGCTGCCCTGCAACGAGCGGAACTTTGGCCTCCGCATCGCCTCCGTCACCGAGACGCTCGGCGTCGGCCACGTGCTGCAGTTTCTCCCGCCCTCGGTGGTGCCGCGCCGGCCGGCTGAGAACATGGGCATCATGGCCTATTACATTCGCATCGTTACGCTTTGGAAAAAGATTGTTCGGTACGTTGTGACGCTGCCTGCCGCTCTCAGACAGCTTGCTTCCGTACTTTGGCGAGAACCATGACACTCATTGCATTTCACAGATACGTCAATCGTCTGGATACGAGCCTCGATGGCACCTCGCCACCGTGGCTGCCCGAGTCCGACTTTGCCGCCCTGGATGCCGATCTGCGGCTGTGGCGCCGGGAGCTGCCCGACTTTGTCGAGTACTCGGCCGAGACCATCTATGCGCGTCTCGACTCCAATCAGCTCGGGGCGCTGGTCCTCATTCACTGCACCTACCACCACAACTACCTCGAGCTGTACAAGCTCTCCATGCCCGACCTCTTCAAGCTGTCCAAGCCGCTGTCCATCCCGCCCGAGCACCAGGAGTTCTTCCAGGCCGCGCAGGCCAACTGCTACCACCACGCGCAGCAAATCGCCGACATCCTGGCCGAGGCTGCCGACCACGGCGCCCGCCTGCTCTCAGACAGCCTGCTCCCGTACTTTGTCTACGACAGCAGCCGCGTCATGCTCTACTACGTTGCGCGGCTGCTCGACCCCAACCGGCTCGACGCCCAGGACAAGGTGCGCGATGCCATCCACGCAGTGGAGAGCAACAATCGCGTCTTGCGCATCATGGTCGCTCTCTTTCCCATTGCGCAATCGCTAGTCGGTCCCCCCCTTGTCCATAAAGTGAGACTATATCCAGCTAACCAGGGGTCCTAGTCCATCACCATTGAGCGATGGTTGTTTAAACTGAAACAGGCGACAAACAGGGAAGACCTCCTTCACAGACTGCAGTCAGAAACGCGCGCCGACATTCCCGGCGCTGTATTGTGAGTGAGCTGAATAAATGGCGCCATGACGCACCCGCTAACCACCTCTCACCGCCAAGGCCCAACAGTCCTCCCAACAGCCCCCAAGATAACAGCGATTTGACGCTGCCGTCCATTTCTCTGCACTCGCTCGCGCGCACCGGCGTTGGCGCACGCCGGGCCGCCGAGCGCTCCTCCGTGTCTACGCCCAGCATCAGCACGCCCAACATCAGCCTGGCCACGCCCGGCATCAGCTGGAGCGCGACGACGGTGCCGTCGACGCCGGCGAGCGCGAGCTCGTGGGACCACATGAGCGCCGCGCACCAGCTCGCGGGCCTGAGCCACCAGGACGCGACGCCCAACGTGGCGCGGTCAGGCCTCCAGCACGAGCGCCCCGTGGCGACGCAGCAGCTAATCCCGGTGCCGCGACGACCCGCGCCCGCGGCGGCGCCCATGTACGAGGCGCTCGACCTCGACGACTTGCAGAATTTCCTGTCGTGGGACATGTACGGGATCCGCGACATGGGGGATCCCATCATCGACGAGGCCGCGGACGACATGGGTATGCAGGGTATGCAGGCCTGGGCTGGCGCCATCTGAGCGCTGTCATGTCGTGCTCGGGATGGCGACGACGGGCCGGCCGATGGTGCCATTTGCATAGTGGAGACGCCGTGCCCCGACTGGCCGGAGCGGATCCTCGCCCGGGTCGTCGCTTCCGACGTGATGTCGATGGAAGAGATGATTCGGGCTTCGTAGGGTTGATGGGCGATTACTCGGTGTAGGGGATGAAATAGTTCTCAATGGGGCGTTTCTTAGGGTATTGTTATGGGTTATGCTGATGTATGGTGGGCGGGTGATGGATCAACGTCGACCAGAAGGTGCAGTGGGCATTCTATGCGACAGTATGTCGCATTTCTGGCCGAGTTGCAACGGGACTTGGCGCAATTTCTCCTTTTTTTTCTCTTGGGTCCTTGTTTCACACAATTCGGGCGAGTTTGAATCGGTCGTGGCAGCACACCGTTGGAATATAACAGAACACGGGCTTCAGGCGAGATCAATGCGTATCGTCGGAGATGATGCTTTAACTGACTAGGATTCGGGCATGTCTATCCATATAACGATCTGTTTATTCTCTTCCAATCCAATTTTTTATTTTTTTCCCCTGGCGTGAATGTTGTCGTCGTATGGTTGGGCCCGTTCTTGACGATGCGGTCTGATAGGTGGGGGCGTGGGAGAAGTTGCCCCGCAAAAACATCGAGGCCAAAGAGGCGATATTTTTTTTTCCATTTTTGTAGTTTCTTCAGCAACCTCATCCAGCCCCGATTCGCACAAACGACCTCTTAAAACCACAAACACCCTCCTCACACAATACCTCATCACAATGGCGCAGGGCAATATCAAAATGTCCGGCAAGCCCAAGGCGGCCAAGGTCGTCCACACCAAGCGCCAGGCCTCCAAGATTACCAAGGCGGGCAACAAGCAGGCCAAGGACACGCTCAACAAAAAGTTTACGTCGGGCCTTATTGGAAAGACCGAGGCCATGCTGGGCGAGCGCGCCGGCCACCTCGAGCTGATTGGCAAGGGAAAAAAGGGCAAGAAGCTGACAGTTAAGGGCGGCTCCAAGCGGTTTGGTTAGGGCTGGACTTTTTTTGGTTGGTTTTGGTTTTGGCATGGGGCATGGCGTTTTTTGGGCATTCTATTCACAAAGATGACTTTTCTACTTTTTGCACATTTTTTATTGCAACAACCTTCTCACCTCGGGAATGACCTCTCTGCCACGACAACCTCCATCGACCTCTACAACTCTGTCCGGCATCTCAGCAGTTCCCGAGATCAAACACCCGGCCCTCGGCAACACAGGTCAAAATCTCCCGCACAACCGCCGCATCTCTCTCGACATTCACCCGCCAGTTGGACACGGCAATGCGCACCGCCGTCTTTCCCCGCCACATTGTGCCGCTCACGTACATCTGCCGCGTCTCGTTGATGCGCGCCACCAGCGTCTCGTTCAGCGCCGCATCCTTGGCCCTGAACAGCACCGACACGAAAATTTCCTCGGCGGCGTTGCTGCTCTCCGGCAGCAGCTCGTAGTGTAGCGAATCGCGCAGAAAGGCGGCAATGGTGCGGGACAGCTGCGCCATGGCACCCAGCATACCCGCGAGGCCGGGCCGGCCCTCAGAGAGCAGCACCGCGTACACGGGCAGCGCGCGGAAGCGGCGCGAGTTTTCGAGCCCCATGTTGAGCGGCGACGGGATGGTGGCGGAAGTGGAGGAGGCGAGGTAGGAGGCGTTGGGGTTGGTGAAGACGGCTTGCATGATGGCGGGGGACTTGCAGAAGAACATGCCGCAGTCGTAGGGCTTGCCTGGTTAGATGAGAAAGGACGAGACACGAAGGTCGGAAATACATACCACATTTAGGAGTTTATGGCCGTCAATGGTGATGCTGTCCGCGAGCTCAATGCCCTCGACTCGCTCATGCAAGAGCTTATACTCCTCCGTCTGTTCCAGCGCCCTCGCAAACACCCCAAACGCTGTCCCCATTAGCCCCCTTTCCTCAACCCATCCCATATCCGCACTCACCTCCATCCACGTGAACCCACGCGCCGTACCGGTCCGCCAGCGCGCGCAGCCGCCGCCACTCGTCGACGCCCTGCAGCGCGTACCGTCCCGTATTCACCTCTCCCGCGCTCACCGCCAGAATGGTCGCCACGCCGGGCCGCTGCATGGCCGCTTCGGCCGCGTCCAGGTCGAACCGCCACGGCTCCGCGTCCGATAGCCGCAGCTCGCGCACCGCGCGCCGGCCGAGCCCGACCACGCTCGCCGCCTTGCTGAGCGAGCTGTGGCCCATGCTCGTGAGC